AGGTGTTCCTGTCAAGTACATGCTGGCACACATGCTTTTTACAAGTCAGAGAAAGGACAACTATCCACTCATTATATCTTCTGTTGGAGTCATCAGCCAGAAGACGTGTGGAGTTAGAAAAATAGATGACATCTTTTACCATGATGTTAATGTCCACAACTATAATGTCTCTATTAAGTGTTACTCAATGACAATGAAAAAAACGTTTATTTCTTTAACCAAGCCTTTGACCCCTACCAGTCACCGCAGTAATTTAACAACCTTTGTCCTGATATATATGTTTACATTACATCTATACTTTTCCAGAAAGTCAATTTGGCGGTCATATATTCCATGAGTTAATGCTCCGTTGCAGATGGGCCAGTCAGAGTTTTGGAGTAGACTCTGTCCTGGCATTGAACTCTCAGAACGTGCCACACTCCGAGCATATTGGCCCAAACATGCAGCAGCATGTCTTCCCAATTAAAACTGAGGAGGAAAAAGAAGCCAGCCTGTTGGAAAATCTGACTTAGCTTAGCAAAGTCAAGAAGAGGTTGTCGGGACATTATTTAGGAAATACAGTCAGTAGAGCAGCAACTCGTTCTTCAGATAGTGTCGGGGTGAAAGCTCAAACTTTGCCACTAATGATCAGATCTCAGCCATTCCTTCTGTCTGAAGAGAGGATTAGCTTCGAACCCATGTGCACTCATCCTTCCTCCTCTGTCCCACTCCCACACACCCCACAGCTCACATCACACACACTCTGAGTATTTCTCACTGAGCCATGAAGTCTTGTTAAACTGCTCTTGTGTGGAATGGCTATGACTCATTGGCTTAGCAGCACTTTTATACCATAATATACCATATAAACATAACGCAAACATTTTCAAAACGGGAAGAGAGTTATTTATTTAAATTTGATTTAAGGGACGCCAGCACTTTTTACAATGATGTAAAATTTGATCATATGATCGTTTATGATCATTTTTCTTTGTATCAGCTCAGTTTCTCTGTTAAAACACAGACACAGTCATACACATTGGAGGCTGCAGTGTACATGTTTTACTAGGTTGTTCTACAGGCCTTGTGAAGATTTGTGTCCTATTTAACACCAGCCGTGACTAAGAGACTGGAAATAATTTTAACTTGTGGTCTCTGGATGATACTTGATCCGTTTTATTGATGTTGCCAACATCAGCACCAAGACCACTCTTGGCACATCATGTCAGACAGGCCATCATCACTGTGGTGGCATGTAGCTTGTTAATCCATACAGGTTTGACTGTTATGTGTCAAAGATAAAGGCCTAGTCATCAAAATGCTGTTTAAATAAAAGTTACAGTCTTAAAGAATCCTGGGGGTGAACAGCATGTCGACATCCACCATGTTGCAACTTTACATTTAAAAGGATCCTAAAACCACAACCATCTGCCTTATGACATTGATTTCACTTTTATTTCTACTCCATTAGGTCTCTCAAATCGAGGTTCACTTTTTTTTAAATCAAATATCAGACTATTTAGTGGAGTACTAAATACCAAGCGGGCTGCTTCACACCGGCTATGTTCATCCATCAAGTTATCCAAACATATCAGCTATCACTGTCAGTAGAAATGAGTTCAGTTCCACTCTGCCATGGTAGTTTAGCAGGGTCACATGAGAGCACAAAACATAAACCAACCAGCAGATTGGTCTAAATATAGAACATTTAAGTTAAATGAGCTGGGCCTTGAGGACACCAATGAAAGAAAACCCAACGCACAGATTCTTAGTCAGGGATAATGTCCTCGGTCCAGCTGCTCCTTTCATATAAATTCATAAAGTGAGAGGAACTCTGCTGGAGGTGAAACGGCACTCTTTCAAAACTATGTCCCATAGTTCTGTTTAGTTTAAATCTGGTGACTGTGGAGGCCATAGCACATACTTTTAAAGTCATGAACCTGGCTAATAGTAACCATGGAAACCCGACAGAGTGAGGAGGACCCCGTTCCAAAGCTGAGGGGTATTGCTCACCCTGAAGGGGTTCCCCCACGATAACTATCCCCCTGACTATACATTATCCCACTTATTACACGTCTAATTACTTTTGAAAATTCATAATTTATTAATTGAGCTTAACTAGCTTTCATAACTCACATTATACTGAACACATCTCCATGAAGCAGCACTTCATCTGATTGAATTTATCTGATTTGTCTTGTGGGAGTCTGACATTTTCTTTTCCATTCAGTAGTCTTTAAACACCACCATATCCCATACCATGTTCTACTACGTGTTTACTTCATGTGCTATCTCCAGTTTTATAGATTTCTCTATAGAATACTGTTTTAACGTATTTTATCCTACTGTCAATGGTGACTGTTGCTATGCAGAAATAGCCAACTAAAAACAAGTATTGCGCCAGTAGAGCGCCACGAGTCTATGTGACTCTCTTAAAGCGAGCAACAGAAGGGGTCAATAATAAAATAGTAACTGAACTAAAACTTTCCATCTTGTGAGAGTAATCCCAAAACACAACAGAGAAGGGAGACATACAGGCTTTTCCAGTCCCTCTTTTGTCCCTAAAATGTGTAGAGAATGGCTCAGCTGTACTGGTGGTAAACTTCCTCCCTGCCTTGTTATATTGTGAAGCAACCATTTTCTTCATATTTTGATGTAGTGCCAAATGTGTTGTTTTAGTGGTACTAAGACATTCATTGTCTCTAACTTCTGCCCTTAAAGTCACACTGACACTGAAGTCAGAAATAAAACAATTCACTTTACGGGAAGGGGCTTTACTTTATGTGATTTATATACCAGCTGATCACTTGGTGTGTGTGTGTGTGTGAGACAACTTCTTGGCCAGCTTCACTGGCATGTTTCACTTCCTTTCACTCAGAAGAAACTCATGTGACGTATTGAACACTGCTTTAGTGACATCCTGTCAGGAGACACAAACACACCCTCTCTCTGTCTCTCCATTGCTCTCTTTTCCCTCTCCTTCAGAAACACTTCTACACACAAAGTTGAACATTTTAAAATAAAAAAACTAGCAATACTCAGCAATTTTGGTTTAGTAAAAAGTGCGTTCTTTAACAGTGTACCTTTTGCACTTTTAGTGTGCAAAACGACTTAATCTTGCACTCTCTGCCAACCCTAAGACTGTTGTGTGGCAAAACCCAGCCATGTTGATTTCATCTCTTCATTTTAACACCAATGTCACCTCATTTATCCAACCACTGATTACAAAGCAGCAAATTCCCCCTCCCCTAACAGTGAACTCCTTTCTGTCTCTGTGTTTTAATCAGCACCTCACACAGCAAGGAGGGGAAAAAAGTTCAGTGGTACTCATCAAAACTTCAAAACTGAAGCAGTGAGCTGTGAGCCACATTCAATGAAGGTGCAGTCCAAGTGTGGAATGGAACATTTTGTGTGTGTGTGCGTGTGTGTGTGTGTGTGTGTGTGTGTGTGTTTTTGAGATGGGGTTTATGACAGGAACCCCTTCTTGTGTTAGAGAACTATAATTTCAGGATTCCTGAAAGTTGTTCATAGATTAACACAGCTTTCACACGCTTATGAAACAGCTGCCATTCTGTGGATGACTAATAAAGTTCAAATCAATTGTAAGTTAGGAGGTTGCTCAACACTGTCTGGCTGCAGTTGTGTGTCTCAGTTCTTTCATCCACAAGAGCCTTTATTAAGATGCAACATTTCCTGTTTAGAATAGTAACCATTTTGTTGTTTGTGTTTATAAAATGTACTCACTCACACGCTTCCACATGGAAGGGGAATGGACATCTACTCCAACGTATCACAGGCAAACAAAATCACCATATTCAACCATAGACTGTAAATACATACAGTCATATGTATGCAACAAGCAGGAAGGACAGGATGTGGAGTGAAACCACATTGGTGAACCTCATAGGGATCCCATGTGCCATGCACACAGGCTTGAGCCGTTAAGTTGTTAGTTAACATGTGCCATGCCATAAAAGAGTCGTTATACACTTGTAAATGCTGGAAATATCCAAAAGCTGCTATTTTGCCACATGGCTGCATGCACAAAATTGTTGTGGACAGGAAACTGTTCTATAAAGCTGTGGCAGAGTCTGTCCTGTGGCCCTGTAACAAAGAAATCCTCCACACAGACACACACACACACACCACACACACACACACACACACACACACACACACCACACACACCACACACAGACAGACACACACACACACACACACACAGACAGACACACACACACACACACACACACACACACACACACACACCACACACAAGTGTCCTGATACACCACCTTAGTATCCTATCAAAGACATAACACAAGGTCAATAACTGTTCTCCGAATGAATGGGAAGGACATTTTAGAGTGATTGCACGTTTAAATCTGCATTGTGAATGATATCATTAATGGTAATAATTGAGCAGAGTTGACTCGAAGTGCATGGAAAAGACTTCATCCTATTATCCTCTATTGCTGTCTACAAGATGCTCAAGCTGAGGCAATTCACGCAACGAGGCTGAGGTTACCTTCAAATAAGACAGAATTATTCTGAAGAACACAGTCAGAACTACAGGTCATTTGTTAGTCATCTGAGTACAAAAAGAGTATTCTTTGCACCTTGAGAAAAACATATCTGTTCAACCATCAGATGGTCTAGTGCCCGTATTTACGTCCCACAGCCGTGGGCAGCGACACTGTTCAGAACAGGGCTGAGATTTGAGTTTGAAAACGATAACTTGTGCTGTAGAGGTTATGGGACATGTAGTCTGACGTGTCATTTTTCACGCACTATGCCTTGATTCATGTCAGTGCATAAACAAAACTCAAAGAAAGGCTGGAAAAAAAACCCTCGTTTTTATAGTTTTCCCTCCAGCCGCCTCAGCAGTTACCACCCAGTAGGTTACGAGTTTCAGCGCTCGGCTCAGCGCAGTTGAAAGCGAGGAACTGTGAAACTAAGTTTTGCCACATGTTTATCGTTAGCCCACCTGAATTAGAAAAGGTGAAAGTGAGTTTGCCTACCTGTCAACAGCGAGGTGGGCAGGAGAAGACAGTAGAAGAGCCAAACAATCACCTGAAGATCCATGTCAGCGCTGATCGATAGGCCTACACTCACTGCCCGATCACTAACATGGATGGATCAATAAGAACCACAGACCAGGTCAAGAACACCACCTCCAACTTTAACCACTCCATCAGGGTTGATTCATTAAACGTGACAGAGAAACAATTCCATTCTCCCGACATCCGTTCATGATCTCCCACCAAAAACAAACAAAACAACTTCAGCTGAAATCCTCAAGTGTGAATAAAAGTTTCCGAGGAGTCGCCTGCTTCGATACAGCCTGGGCTACTTTTCGTTTCAGCGCTCAGCTGTGGATCTGAGAGAAGAAAGGGATTTCTGCATGTGTTCCTTTTTCTTCTTCGGAGGGGCCCAGTCAGAAGTAACAACTGTGTTGTAGGTGGAAAATGTGATTCACAGGCAAGTCAGACCGAAGGGCGTTCATAGAGGAGCTATTCTCCGGGTCTGCTGGTCTCCTCCCTGCTGCAGTTATGTTACTCTGACTTCTGACTCGACAGTCAAACAGTGAGCAGCTTGTGACTCTGCACTGCTCGAAAGTTTCACAGTGAAGCGTGTACGATCAGACAACATGTGTTTTGATGAAATGACAATGACAATTTGATATTGGCAATGAGATTGGTTTGGCTTTTTCTTGTAAATAGATTGTCGTTTCTGTCAGAAGCACGCCAATCAATGCCGGCGCAATGTCTTCTTTAAATTCCTCAGCGCTGTAATGCTGGCGACTCAAAAATACATTGTATGTCAGTGGCGCCCCCACGCGACAAATGAACACTTTCAATCATGAAGCCAGTGAAGGCAACACACCCACACTGGCAAGAAGAGTGTGTGTGTGTGTGTGTGTGTGTGTGTGTGTGTGTGTCATGTGCTTTCTCTGAGGCTTGTGACCCCAAATGAGGCAATATAGAACACTATAGAAAAAGTCAGATTTCTAATTAGGCCTAATTGTTTTATTTTTTTCAAAGGAATTTTACAGGCCAAATGAAATGACAGTATTTTAATTTACAAGACATGAAATGTATTGAATAATATGAAAGAAAAATAAACATCATAGCCTATGTAACACATGCATAAGCCTTTCCTCTATAAGCCCTGACTTTTTTCTTGGAAGCCACTAAAGGTTTTATGTGTGAGATTTTCCACTCTTGCATATCAGCATTTAAGTATTTGCTATGTGAAGTTTTGCTATACAAGTAACAGACTCCCTCTGAGTGTATTGTAATCCTCGACTCTTTATACATTGTTTTGGTTTATACCTATATCTGGAACCGCTGTGTGCATGTTCTTACAAGTGAGGTCCTGTAAAGGAGTAACCAATGTACCAAGCAATAAGTTGAGGGCAGTATGTCGAGGATGAGATCACAGTTAATTAAAAAGATCAAACATTACCGTGAACCTAAAAGTGGATAGCTAGCAAGAAAATAATCACGTTACATTGGAGGATTGGATTGTAGGTCACTTACCAGGTTGAAGAACTACCTTCTAGTAGCAACATGCACTGGTTGTGTTTGAGTGAGATTTCAGCTCATCTTCTACACTCAGTCAGAGACTCCAGCTCTCTCTGTGAACATACGAATGTCTCACTTTCTTTCCCCTCTTTTCTTTGTGGTTTGAAGTATTGTGATATTTTCCCTCCACTCAGCACTCATTATGGACAGAAATATAGCCCATAATTTCATTAAACTATATCAAATAAAGAAAAGTAAAAACAATTTAAAGATCTTATAATTATCTATATTACTTAGAGGCAGTCATTTGTGTACTTTTGATTCTTTTTTTCTTTAATTTTCACATAATATATTTCAGAGTTTTGAACATCAGGAGAAGTTTTAGGCATTGTGTTTTTTGAAGCCTGTTGTTCATGGAGGCCCTAAGCAGACATGCATCAATACATTTTATTTACTCCTTTAACAGTAACAAGCAATTTCTGTTTATTTCCACTATAGATCTTGGCTTATTTTATCCCCAGAGTTGCAATAGCACAAAACAAAAGTAGAATAGGCTTAACTTACATCAGAAGTGATCAATGGCAGGATGGCATGTCGTGGTCTGGACTATCACAGTAACCAGGTTTTTTTATTTTATGTCTTTTGCCAAAAAAAGATCCCGATATCATGAGAAAAAAAACTCTGTTTTTTTTTTTTTGAGACAATGAGTTAAATGAATACGTTTTGTGGGAAATCCAGCTTTGATTTCCCAATAAATTGCCAGAAGTTGAGATTTTGAGAAAACAACTAAATTACTCCTTATTAAAGGAAAATGGAGTAAATGAAAGGGGAACGCCATGTTTGTCGAATTTGAAGTTGTTGTTTTTTTACAACGACAAGTAAAGTAAAACATATTTTTGTAGTGACTGTTGACAAAATAACATTTGTCAGTGGAGTTGCTTTAGTGCTACTTGTGGTTCTGAAGGCTGTTATAAGTTACATGTTTAAGAAGTCCTGTCTGCCAAGCTGGAAACCTCTGCCCAAATTTCATTAATCAAATTACCTAAATAAAAACTGTGGGGGGAAAACGGCATCATTCTTTAGTACAAATGTTTGGAGAAGAAGAACTTTTTTTCCTTTAAAACCCCTTGCATCTTTCAGACTGATGATAAGAGACTATAGGCTATATTGTAGGCTACATATGCTTACAGTATAGCCTTAGTATTGGAAAACAATATTCATGTTACCTTCGCCTTGTTGAAATGTAGGCTATAAGGCAGCAAACAAAGAGGAAACTGAAGCACAATGGTATATAACTCAGACCCTTCTGTGAGTTTATCACACTCTTCAAGAGGTTTGTGCATATATTAAGAAATAATTACTAGATTAGTGAAAAGTAAAAAACATCCCTTACAATGGGGCTATCGCTTTGTTTGATGATCCAGTAAGGTTAATCCCACTAGGCATACATCAAACATTTAGGCTTAATGTAAAGGTGAACCATTTAACCTTGATTAAAGTATCTTTTCTTCCTTTCAATAATTTCTTTCAGGCAAATTCATGTTTAAGAATTGAGACACATTCATTTATTTAGCCCGTGACAGACATGTGATCTACAGATGGCTTGAATATAATTAAAGACAATAAAAGACAGTTCACAGCTTGTTAATGACGGGAGCTGCATTAGCTCAGCTTTCTGTCATTGATCATTTATGTGAGGACAGCTGATAATCGTCAAAACTGATTAATCGTGTTCTATATGGTAAAACATTTGGTTTCTGCCTAGTGTTATCACAGAAGGAAATAATTAAATTATGGAACAATACAGACTATAGGCTATAAGCCAACTCAAGGTCTACATCAGTCCTATCACACTTTTATTATTAATAATAATAATAATAATAATAATAATAAAAATAAAATAATAATAATAATAATAATAATAATAATAATAATACATACATACATACATACATACATACATACTTTTTATATAGCGCTTTTCTAAATACTGAAAGACGCGTTGACTAGGATAATATCAGAAGGATGAGTCAGTGTCATCGTACTAACTTGTGTTTTTTAGACAAAAAAGTAGGAAAACTATAACCAAGATTAATCAAGAGGTAAAATGTCTTTGATTTTTTTCAGTTTTAAGGCACAGTGTCGATACAACAAAGAAAACATTTAAATCGAGAAAGTAAAAACGATAGACGCTCAACCAGTTCTCAGCTTGTCCAATCCTTCTAACGCTGTCCTAGGACGTGGCGCTGGGCGTGGCTTAGTTGATTTCGCGCGAAAGTTCATTTCTCCTTCCTGTGAAATGTGAACATTACCGGATGTCCATTGTTGAGGGACGCCATATAATTACCGAGTTTGACCGACGGGAGGACACTTCTTCATTTGTTTTTCCACCCAGCGGGTTTGGATCACTTCAACAAGCTTCAATATGTCTCAGGCTCGGGTGACTGACTTCTTCTCTCAAAGAAAGAAAGGCCTCGCCGGTCCTGTGAAACCGACCAAGCAGCGTACGAGCGGTGTCGTCCAGCGTGGAGCTTCACGGAATAATACAAACATTGTCAGTACCAGATCCTCTACAAACAAGGATGTTTTGCTGCGTTCGTCATCCGTCCACGACGAGTTTGTCCGAGTTATTGATGAAGTGGTGGGACTAAGTGAAGCAGAGTGTGCTAGTAGCAGCGTAAGGAAATACTCTCCCCCCAGCCCCAGGACGCCGAAGAGGACCTCGACGGACGGGGAGTTTGACCTCGGGGCAGCCGTGTTTTCAGCCACCTCCGACCACAGCACGGCCAAAAAAAGACGACAAGACAAAGACACCAAATCCAACGTGACAGAGAAATCAACCAGGAGGAAGGCTAGGAAGAAACTGGTGCTACCTCAGGACTCACCACAGGTAATGTTGTGACAGTTCAGTGAACGTATCTCAATCTGGGACCCAAACAAGGATGTGAGCGAGGAAGCACTTGGGTGTATCTTTTCAGTATTGAAACACTAAAGTACGCTTGGCTGTTGTTGTTTATGTCCAGGTTGTAGTCCGGCCCAGCTCAGCTCCAGCAGCCCTCCCCGGACCCAGTTCAGAGAGCCATGTCAACTCTCAAACCCACAGCCCCCCCCAGCAGGATGAGGCCGTCAACAAGAACAGTGAAGAGCAGGCCAGCAAGGTAACTGTGTGTCTCTGTAGTCTTCAAGTCAAGTGTCTCTACTGAAGTCTGCAAGTGACACAATTATTAATGTGCCACGATTTGAGTCGTCACCTGCAATTCATAAACATCTAGAATAGAATAGAATAGATGTTTATTGCCATTTGCACAGGTACAGGACAGCACAGGTACATTGGAATTCTTGTGTGTTTCTCCCTGAGTCAGCTTCTACAAAAAAAGTTAAAATTATATATAAAATAGAATAGCATTATAAGAAAAAAAGAGTAGAAAAGTAAAAATAAATAAGTTGTAGTAACAGCTAAGTGATTTAAAATAAACTGTACAGAAGCTATACACTTTATTAAAGCAAAGATATAATACAAAAAAATAACAAAGGGGAACACTGTACAATGAAATGAAAATGTAAATATGTTTTCTTGTCTCTAACTTTCTACATCTCTTATTGCACACATTTTTCACATTATATAATTGCACTGTTTTTTTGTTTTTAAGGTTAATATTGCACACTTGTATTGCACTGTGAGGTGTGAGGTGAAGTACTTCCTTCCTTGATAATGTTAATGCAATGTAAATCAGAATTTACATTGGAGACTTATGTGGTAAGAAACATTGACAAGCTTAACCTAATTAATCGTAGGCAATCTATCAGGTGGGCTTATTGGGAAGCAAGTTTGACAAAGCAAGCACTTTTTTTATATATTTAGCAGCTCCACAAACTCTCCGAGCATTTGGATCAACATGACTTCAGTAAGGCATGTTTCCTGTGTCAGCCTGCATATCTTTCTACAAGTTTGAAAATGTGTTGTATTCCCGACATGCTGGTATTGCTCATAGAGAATTTTGTCAGAGGAAAAAAAAAATCAGATTAGAATGTGGTTACACCTTTACAGCCTAGTTATAAACGGAGTTCAGAATATTACCTCTCTAAGAGTAGGTTAGACGTGCAGCACAAGTTACTATGTTGTACTAAAAACTTAAGTATGTGTCACAACCTAAGCTAGAGGGTAAAAAAAAAGTTTTGTTGTACTATTCGGGTCCCCACATGTTTTATGGACTGTTTTGATCATGATGTATGGTGTGGTTTAGTGAAGACTGCCTTGCAAAATGCTGGCTGACATATAAATGTTCTGAGTGAGGTGGGCTTCTTCTGCAACATTGAGGTTTTCTAAATCAATTTGGAAAAGACTCAATTTTGATAGTGACCTTTGGCACTTACCCATCGTGAGGCTGATGTCATTCTACTCTCATCTTGTAAACAAATCTCACGAGAGAACAATTCTTGTCAAAATCTCTCATAAATATTCATGTTTTTTAATAGAAGCAGTTGCATGACTGAGGAGGTGAATGTGGAGACAGTAGAAATATACTGCAGTGTTTTTGGAACCACAATGACTATTACAGATGAGGATAAGATATATCAAGCTTTGGATACACAAACAATATGTAATAATAGGAAACATCATGGTTGGTTGGAGTCTGAACTTTTGGGAGAAGATGATATTTAAGCACACTATTGCTGAACGTCTCCTTAATGTAACAAACTGTCCCCATCCTTTTTTAAGGCTCTGTGCAAAGATGGCATTGCAACTCTCAAGGCCCGCCTTCAGAGGATCAAGAAACAAGCTGATAAAATCGTGAGTGCTGCTCACAATGCCACGCCCTCCACTTCTGGATCTCCAGCCGGCTCAGCACCTAAAAACACACTCTCTCCGGACCCCCAAACCGCCACGCTCCTGACGTCTGAAGCCAAGGCTCTGAAGTTCTCTGTAGCGCGAGCCAGTGAGCTTGCAGCTAAAGCTCAGAGGAAGAAGGAAGAGAGGGTGGCAGAGGAGAACAAGCAAAGAGAGGAATGGTGAGAATGTCTTCATATTCCTATACTCAAGGCTACGGTACAATAATCTACTCTGCAAGTGGTACAAATATTTTCATAAACAGAAGGTCTTGCTTCCTCACACTGATTGTGTTTTCCCCCTCTCTTGACCCTCAGTACGGAGCAGGCAGCATACCAGCGATATCACAACCTTGCCCAGGCAGCAGCCCCTGGCCTCTCACTGCCGTACCAGTACAAAGTTCTGGCTGAGATGTTCAGGAGCATGGACACGGTGGTTGCTATGCTGTACAACCGCTGTGAGACGGCTACCTTCACCAAGATCAAACAGGGAGTCCAGGATATGATGCACAAGTAGGTGGAACGACGGAGAGATTGTCTTCAGCTGTGTATTGTTTTTATTTATTTGCTGGTGTAGGTGTTTACATGTAATTGTATAGTCAACTATGAGGGAAAACACACACCATCCAGGTGTTTTTAGATGTACGAAAACATTCAGTCCCAGCATGATCAGAAGTCTTTCCCTTCAGTGCCACATTAACACCCCACATTCAAACTATGGAGTATTCCTCTGTGATTAAGTTCCTAGTTGGTTTCATTTAAATTCGGACTACCTGACTAGTCTAACGGTAAGAAAACTTGGACAGGGCTATATAAGACTAACTTATTATTATCTGTTGTTAGAACCGTCTACATACTTTTCATTTCAGTGCATTTAAAAACTACATTTGTTGTGTCACTTTAAATTCCTCTCAGATATCTTTTCTTTCTGGTAGCAGAAGCTAATGTTTGCCGCTTTCTTTGTCCATCTCGCAGGCGGTTTGAGGAGAACCACGTGTGTCAGATAAAGACAGTTTTTCCTGAGGCCTACACGTTTAGACAGGAGAAGAACATCCCAACCTTCAACAGCAGCATAAAGAAGGGCAGCCACCAGCTAACTGTGGAGCCTGTCTTTCCTTCTGGTTAGGACACATTGTCTCGGTCTTTGAAAACATGATTTCTCCTTCTCTTGGTTAAAACACTTCAATCATGACATTGTTCTTAAAATTGGTTGTAAGCAAGCTGGGGGTCTAATTGCAAGTCCCTTTGTATGCTCCTGTTTATGTGTATGTTTAATCTCCCATCCCTGTGTTTCCTCCTCAGACCAGAATGAATCCCGTCCTCTCCTGTCAGCCTCTTGTCTCCTTGACAGACGACGCATCTTCCACCAGAAGCTGGTCTCCATCGTCAAACAGCATCACAAGGTAAGCAGATGCTCCCAGCTTTGTAAGCACGTGAAAGCTTTGAAAGCCAACAATATAAGCTATGCACACTATGGTAGTTGTCCTTCTCAAACGATTTCCTGTCTGCAGGTCTTCCTGTCCTCGCTGGTTCCTCCGGTGTCTGTTCCAGACGACAAACTAACCCGCTGGCATCCTCGCTTTAATGTGGACACTGTGCCAGGTGTCCAAACCAGCTCCCTACCTCAGCCCCCTCACACGGAGAAACTGTCCACAGCTCAGGAGGTTCTGGACAAGGCTCGATCTCTCATTACACCCAAGGTACTAACCCTGCATCTGTGTGCTGTTGTAATCTTCAAATGAGACAGGGAATATTCTCTGTTTTGAAAATGAACAAAGTTGGAACTAAGTAAATTTTGCTACTTGCAGAGTTGGCCAACTTGATGTCATATTAGGGAGAAACATGTTGAACAAAAGTGTGTTTGTGCTGGTTAAATTCTTGTATAGCATTTCCTATCTTATTATCTGCTGACATGTTATTGGTCTAATATTTATGCTCACAACTCTTAAGTCTACATGTTTGCATCCATTTATTACCACAGCGTGAACTAGAGTTAACGATATGTTGTCTAAATTGTTACTCGGTTTCAGTGTCGTTTTTGTTGTTGTATTTTAAGTGCTTGTACTCCATAAGTCATTGAGTATAATCAGTGATTTGTCTAACACAACATGTATTGTTCTCATGCTTCGTTCAGATGGAGAAGGCTCTTGTTTCACTGGCTCTAAAGACACAGGATACAGCTCCAGAGAGTAAAGAGCCAACATCTCCCCAGAGCCCGACAGTCAGCCAAACAACCGCTGCCTCTACTGCTCAGCTTCCAACAGCCCTGAAAGGAGTTTCCCAGTCTCTGCTGGAGAGGGTAGGTACACCATTAGCTGGGAGAAAGGGGGCAGTGTGGTGTGTGCTGGGATGGCCAGTTTTAAAATGTTTAGACTTTTTAAGGTTTTGTAAACAATCATGTGACTCAAAGTGTTGTTCTGTGCTTGTTGTTTTTAGATCAGGGCAAAGGAGGCTCAGAAGCTACAGGCTGCCATGACCCGAAACTCCACCCAAGAGGAGCGCCTGTTGATGATGTCACGACTCCCTGAGTTGGCGAGGATTCTTCGGAACGTTTTCGTCTCAGAAAAGAAGCCGGCTCTAATCATGGAAGTTGCCTGTAACAGGATGGTGTCGAGCTACAGATCCGCTCTCAGCACAGGTTAGTCCAGAGAGCAGAATACACCAGTGTATGTGTGCCTTCGACATGCACTGTCAACTGTTATTTAAAACATTTAGATGTAGGCAATGAACAAGCAACAGTAGGCTTTTCCTTTGTATGTAGGCGTTGCCAGTTGGAGGTGAATATTTATGCACCGGTTACACCTCGTCTGCATTGTAATATTCACACTATGGTGGTAATGCCTCGGTGTGTAAATATGCGCTGGTCTGTCCTCCCTTGAGCTTTCATCTACGTAAGTGTGACATGGTGACAATGTAAATTGGTTTTGCCAGCAGGGCAGAACAGTAATGTGTGTATGTGAAGCTCTCGCAGTGCTTCCACAACACTCTTACTCAATGCGTCTTACACTTGGACACCAATATTGAGCAGATTCAGTGTGAAAGTTAAAAAGGCTTAATGATGGCAGATATTTGTTATGCAGAGTAATATGGACTAATAAGAGCTTTGGGCTTATATAAACTGGCCTTGGTCGGTGCTCTTTTCTTGTCCAGAATATGGGGTCATTTTATGGTCTTAAACAAGACTCAGCAGGGTGGACTTGATACTTCAAATATGTTAAATGTACATTCAAATATGTAAAGCATTATTCCTTCTTTTTTTTTCATGGCAAAGCATTAACCTCACTATAGAATGTACTAGTATGATTCAATACAAGGTCACAAGGAATGGCACACGAGATCATCTTAATTGGTGCATGTTAGATATTAGAGTGAAGTATATACAGTATGAAGTTTCTCCCCATGTGTGTGTTGCGGTCTTATTATTAAATCCGTTTTGATTTCAAATCTCCTCTAGTCAGCCTGGGACAATAACAAGAAGCTGAGAAAGCCAGTGTTCTTTTAAGCATTGAATAACAATCAAGTATTTTGTGTTAGAAACTTGTATCATGGATATATAACTGTTAGATAACTGGTGATTTCTCATCTCTGACAAACAGGTGAAATGGAGAAACATATACGTCTACTGGCAGAGGTAGCAGCTGATTGGCTGGCTATTCATCCAATTAGGAAGGACTTCTACCTGAAGTTGAACAAGACCATGGAGCTGAACATTGTTCTGGACAAACTGAGCAACAGACTCAGAGAAGAAGAGAGACTCTAAAACAATATGAGTGATGATCTGCTGGCCTTTCACAGTTAATCACCCACTTTCCTCAGCGCTGTGCTACATGAGCCGCCAGCAGACTGAACACTAGTTGGTTTAAACTCCCCTTTTGTGAATTTTATTGGTTACCTGTCACAGGCTTTTTAGAGGTAAGGTGGTCTGTACTCTAGGCTGACCTTCTGTCATTGACCTGTGCGTTGTTTCGCCTTTTCATTTTCTTTGAAAGTGTTTTATTGTTCTGAACTTCTCTGCCTCAAGTCTTTTTGAGTGTCGCTTTTCTACAGTGTAGAACAGCTGATGCTGAATGTTTACATTTTTAAAGGTCATTGTTCGATAATGTTTGAGAAATACAAGTATTGGTGAGGATCCTTCCTGCCTTTTTTTTTTTTCCTTCTATGATCACAATTTTATTAAATATAACAATCTGTAAAATGCTAAGCAATGATTGCACTAAGTATGGAAAAGTGATGTCAAACTATGTTTTATCAAGATTACACATAATGGGGAAAATATGAAAACATAAAAAAGTTAGAAAAAGAAACTTAAACATCTTGTCTGGTTGACTAACATGCTTTTTAAGGTTTCTACCTGAAGCATTGTACAATTTAATTTTGGAGCTTTTAAAGTAATTATTACTGCTAAGTCTTTTCAACCAAGAGGAAGTCTGGACGATTCTAACTGAAGAGACATCTTATTTTAAAGGGCATAGTTACATTGTGGATGTGGTACGATTGTGATACAACCCCTGTATGGAATGTCTACGTGAACAGGTAACATGAGTACACACAGCATGCGACCCAAGATGACCTCAGATGGAAAATAAAAATGTGAAATTTGGAAAGACTCTTTGCAGCATTTGTTTTTCTAAAAGTGAACAATGTTTATCTTATAAAGATTACACAGATTAGTGCACAACCATCTGCAAAAGTTACACTAAACTTAAGCTGAATTCAAGTACCAACACCTGTCACATCCACTATGTTCGCTGATGTTTAAATTACCATTTGAATTTAGTGAGTCTGGGTTTAATTGAACTAAAATTGAATTATTTATTTCTAATAGGTTGAAAATACTTGTATGTATTGTGGTAGACAAATTCAAACCTAGACAATGTACACATCCATGTCAATGCAGCTCCCTATTCCGACTTCAAGGTACTTAACTCTAAATAGTGTATTTACCTGATTACAGCATGCCCAGAGCCTTGAATTAAATGAAACTCAATAGCCTCCTTTCACCTGACAGGAAGGAAACATGTTACCTGTCCAAGAGTCGTTGCCCGAAAATCATTTGGTGGGCGGGTGGATATTCTAAAATGTGATATTTCAGATATGAGATCCTAAATCATCAAACATGTAAAATCAAAGAAGAAAGACTTAGGCCTCAAATTGAAAAAAAAAAGCTTCAGGACTTGATTAAAAGTCATGATCCCCGTCAAACATTGCTATCATTTTGTATCTTATTTTCTTTTTTATTCATTCTGTGTTGTCTTGCTTGTTACGTGTTCTGCCCTGATGTAAAGCGTCCTTTGTTCCCTTGAAATACAGAGAGGCTAACTGATAGGTCATTGGTATGCTAGACAATGAACCCAAAATGCTCCTGAAATCATCAGGAGCCATCAGTGTGAGTGTTTCTGTGCGAGTGAGAGAAGTCAAGTTCCTCGTGGGCAGCTTGGCTCGTTTCAAAGTGCCAAGCAGAAAATCCTGAAGATGCTGAACAAAGTAAACCTCCAGTAGTCAAGACAACAATGAAACAAAGAAGAAACAGCTTAGCTGCAGTTAAACATTTTATTCAATATATTATTTGTGTTTAGCTAGAATAATAGCTAGATCTCATTAGACGATAGTTAGCTTCAGCATCATATGGATAACTGCATTGATAATTTTCAAGTTCCAGGCACACATTCCTCAAGACACTGATATCACAGCAAAAAGAGTGATGACATAAAATAAAATAAAAAAACTGATCAACAAGATAATGTTTGGTCTTTCAGTCTGCAATGAAATGTTTCTGTTTAAATGAAATAATTCATATCCATAAAAATGAATTCAAGGACTGAAGCAAGCATGCATTACTTGTAATGAAAATCAAAAAAGAAAGAAAAATGTTTAAAAATAATTAAGACCTTTAAAGACTTTAAGGATTTGTGATGTTTCTGAACCTCTAAAATAAAAACCTGCCTCTGACACACTTCCACTCTGTTTGTGCCCTCTTGTGGAGAAGTCGTCTCATTGGGTTACAGCCAAATGTCTTAGCAGGGAGTCCATTTTAAAAGCTTGTAAACAGCAGGACTAAATCAGCGCTGATTTGTGGACCGTGTGCACCACCCCGTTAAGTTTCTATTGAAAGAATGCATGTGGAGTGAGTTTAACGTCACCTTACTGCTAACACGCTTACTTGCAGCCTCTTTGGAATCATTAGTTCTGTGATCCTAAACCAGGAATATGAAAGGAGTTGAAGGAAGGTTCATCTTGTACCTAGCAGCTGTGTTTTCTACCCTACATGTTCATAAAGAGAGTTTCATTCATCCATGAGTGTGACAACACCTGATTTATATTCAGCGACAGACTAATGGGGAGGGTCTGCTGTGAGAAAAGCTCTCATATGCCCACTGTTTGCTAGGTAACGCTCCATCCCTTGCTACTAGAGCTTTAACAGATTTATAACCTGAAGCACAAAACATGTCAAAATTACCTCAAATGACTGTGTGTATGTAAGTGGGAAATGTGGAAATATAGGTGGTGTGGTGATGGAACAACAGTCAAACATTAGTTAGCACCAACAAGTGAGGCATGTGTTAGTGGTCCTCAGTACTGAACCAGGGAGAAAATACTTTGAGGTTTTAGTTTGTCTTTGCCGTTCAGCTCTTTGAGCTCAATGACCACCATGCAGCCCAAAACCTCCGCTTGCTGCTTCTTCATCAGCTCGCAGGCAGCAAACAACGTACCTGAAACACACACACGCACCAACTTCTGAATGTTGTTCAAAAATTTCGCAACAACATCACTTGTGCTCCAAAACACCAAATTTCAATGTTCAATCAGCCTGTCACTGAATGAGATATAACTCGAGGAGTTCTCACCACCGGTAGCCAGGAGGTCGTCAATGAGCAGAACCTTCTGTCCTGGAGCCACCGCATCCTCCTGTATCTCCACCTCCGCCTGCAGAAACAGGAAAACAAAACATTGTCATTAATGCAATATCTACATTTAAAGGTCAGGAGTAAATACTCAAAAAGACATAGACACACAAAACGGGCTAATTTTCTTTCTTTTTCTAGACTGCACAAAGTGCTGTTACAGAAGACGCCCTTAAAGACATAAATGCACTTAGGACTATTTTTTATGTAACTTTAAACCCTACCAAGAATGATTTCTCTGGCAAAATTATTTAAAGACTCATCGCTCTGCACTCTTTATGTCTGCAACAGATCAACATCTTTGACGTCCTGTGAAGGAGAATGGTCTCCTCTGTCACAGCTGTATATGAGCTTCAGAGCGGAAAACATCTGCCCCAGCTTTGCATTGAAAATCTGATTGTTAAAAAGCTGAAAGGTAAAGTAAGTGCTAAAACAAATGACAGAGTATGTGTGTTGTGTCCTTACCTTCCCGTACTCTAAATTATACTCCACAGACAGAGTCGTTCCAGGGAGCTTCCCTTTCTTCCTGACCAGGACAAAGCCAACACCAAGCCGCTGGGCGAGCAGAGGCCCGAACAGAAAACCACGAGCATCTAAACCTGCACAACAACAAAAAAGTCAGAGATAAGAGTTACTGCATTTGTGGAAGAATATAGTTCAAGGAGCAAAATGTAACTCTGACATGTAGCGTTTAGAATGTTTACTGCAGTCCACATTCAAAACATCGGCGAGAGCCATCTCCCCCTGCCCCCTCCTTCCTAGAGGCGATGCAAACACCGGTTTCTTTTTAGGTCAGGTAGATGCAATACGCTTGCCTGTTTCCATCGCTGCAACACCTGTTGGTTTGCTGTGATAACTTGGTCTCATATCTGACAAACCGAGGGGCGTCCAAAACGACCACATTGGGGTGCCTTAAACCCGCTTTCCTTCTCTGGTCATAAGAAATTCAGACCATTCAAGACTGGAATCCAAGCTTAGAAGGAGGACATACTGGCTGCTGCATTGTTGTCAGAGAAGCCAGCACTTCAACACAGCATGTTTTCTTAATGTCTGATGATGACATATTAAAGTCATTTTATGATTTAATTCAGTAGTTATCGTACATAATGCTCATTTAATATACAAAACACACCCACAGTCATGACAGTTAATACACAGTCTTAACTGCAGGAATTCTTCCACCTCCAAAACAAAATCAGCGAGTGAACTCATCGAAATTAAAGTACCGATTCTGCATCAAAATGTTTTATCCACCGTTACAGATGTACAATCCATTTCTAGCCTATCTTTTCAATGTGACTGGTTGCATCCTAAATGGTTCCACAGGTGGCTGTGTTTGGTGTTCTACTGTAGTACCTTAGGTTCCCTGAACAGAGAAAAGCTCCTGAATAAGAGCTGGTGCTGATTTACTATCTGTTTTTTTTGTTATTTCTCTGTAAAATGATCAGAAAACTTCAGATAAAAGCTCATCCCAATTTAAGGTCCAGTCCCTCTTACTTTCCTGGTGTAGCTGCCTGATTTGACAAATAAAGGCAGCTCTCAATTAAAGGTCCCTATTCATTGAGAGATCACTTTAATGTATGATGAAGTAGAGTCCCTGTAAATAATATGATAAAATATACTAGTGTTGTAGTCAAGAACACACTAAGCGAGACCCAGACACACCCAGAGTGCTCTGAGGCCGAGACGAGACCAAAACATTTAGGGATCCAGACCGAGATGAGACCAGGACCAAGGCAGGGTGAGACCGAGACCACAATTATAAATGAAAAATCCTCGTCTTGTGCATCAGGTATGTCACTCACTTAGACTGTAACACCGGGAAGGTTGCTGTCGTTACCAGAGGATAAAATCTAATTATGAATGAATTGAAGTTATATGTTGTTTTAGAAAGGGGCGTTTTCCTTCGTATCACAGTAATGACTTAGCCAATCAGTGGTGGTCCTGATTTAAAATCCGGAGTCTGCCCAGTCCGAGACCGAGTCAGAGACCTTGTAAAAGAGGTCTTGAGACCAACACTAAAATGTAAAGTCTATACCTGTCCTTAGTGTCATGAGACAACACGACTGTGCAGAGGTTTAGTCAGTCAAGAATACTGGAGATTGTTTTTTCATTAAGAATGATGTTTTCTTACCTACTATCAGATCAACAGTCTGGTAATTCCTCCTCACCTCTTCTTCAAACAGGTCAATGACTGCTGTCAGAGCAGCTGGATACTTCAGGATGGGACAGATATCTCTGCACAGACACACACACACACACACACACACACACACACACACACACACACACACACACACACACACACACACACACACACACACACACACACACACACACACACACACACACACACACACACACACACACACACACACACACACACAGTAAGTATCAAAGATGAACATTTATACTGGGAAAGTTACTGTTTTATAGAACTTAGCTTTCCATTAAGCTCTGACTCATATGATGTGATGTCACCTGGACATTAAAGCACTTCAATTAACTTGAATGGTTGCACACTCATGTACAGATGTTCATATGAATGATACAAATAATAACAACTCATTTTTTTTAATACACTTTACATTTACAGCTAACCTCAACACGATACAGAATAAAACATTTTTAAAAAAGCAAACACATAGCAAATACATATACATACAGTATACTGTGTATACATATAACACATATAGCACTACAGTCTCACAGTTGTACTAAATGAAGCCCTCCGGTTGCTTCATGCTTCTGTCAATATCACCAGGCACAGTTTCTTTCACCTCAGGTTATAACTGACTGCTACCAGCCTGGACACACAGTTAGTAAACAAACACAACAAGAACAAACACTTATTTTGGCTTATATTATTTGGCAAGAACAAACAGAGAGTAAACAAAAATGTTTGTTTCACATAGTTGAGTTTGACTTTTGGATGTCACTCAAGTGTTTAAAATATTGCTCTTATAAATATGTAGGTTTATGGCCTATAGTGACACTGTAGATCGATAGATATGTGTTATTAGTATCCTATTTATCGCTGCTACCCAATCCTATCCCCTGTGATAGACTGTGTGTGTGTGTGTGTGTGTGTGTGTGTGTGTGTGTGTGTGTGTGTGTGTGTGTGTGTGTGTGTGTGTGTGTGTGTGTGTGATGTATTTCCACGCAGCGCAGGACAACGTGGGTTCTAGTTTGACTGTTTTCTCTGAAGGTGGAGAGAGGCTCGATACCCTTAACAATTCAACTTTAACAGGAGGACTCTAGTGTATAGGACTTAGCACGCAGTTATTTGTATCTTACCTGAACAGGATGCCTTTCTTCGGAAAGTCCTGATAAGGTCGGATGTGGTCTCGGACCAGCTGGAGTTTACACTCCGGACTCGCTGCCATTCTTCTTGATTCTTGCCTGTGGTGCTTCTTGCTGCTCTCTCACTCCCCTCGTGTCCACTTGTTTCTTCCTCGTGACATTGAGCATCGAGCACGCAACACACAAACACACACACACACACAGAGCATTATCAGACATTACCGCCATCTACTGGTCTGAATGACATGTTGTAATGTTGCAGATTTACTGACATTTTCAGAATTTTGCAACAATTCAATTATTAATAATAACTAAGACAACAGAGACTATTTAAAGCGCGCTACTCTATGTCAGCCTAATTCTCTTTTACCCTTTATAATAATAATCCAGCACCCAAAAAACAAGGCTGTATACTAACTTGTGTCACACAGTCACACTCAAAGAAGACTTAGTTCAGTGATCACTTCTTAATCTACTGTCAGTTTTAGTCAGACATGTTCTTTCTCACAAGGCTACTGTGTTAAGTGTTAAAGATAATGATATATTATTCTCATAGACATAGGCTACATACATATAAATGATATGCATCTCATAGAGTCCTGTTTGGGCTGCCAAACCATTGTACCACACAAAAATATTTATTTCATTCAAATTATCAGGACAAACAAAGGAGTGCTTGCTGGACTTAAAAATGCTTAATCTTAAAAACAACATTCAACATATGGCATCAAGCCTTCAGGTCAGCCTTGCACATAACAGTGAAGGTTTTCTCCACCATAGAATAGCAAACTGAAATCAACACTGTCTTTCGCTTCTCTTAGGTCAATGGCTCTCACACAGAGAAGTTACCCGTGGGTATGAATAAAATATTTTATCTTATCTATGAATCATTCCACTAGGCCAGGCCTATATAAAAGGGACAACGTAAGGATGAATAATAAAGGGGGCCTAAGTGGAGACTGCATGAATGAAAGAAGGGAGGGGATTATGTTCTGTAGTTAGAGGTTTGGTAGTCAAGAACAGGCCAAGGGGGGCGGGGGGTTAGAAACATCAAATTATCTCACCTAAGGTGCTGACTGACTGAGCCCAATCATGACTTACAGGTAGACAAGCAAACAGGTGAAAATACAATACGAACACTGCTTATTATTGTCTAGAACAAATAGGACAGGTGGACAGGCACATAGAGGGAGATAAAAAAATGCATGATCTTAAAATGAGACCAAAGTCTTGTCGTTGTGGTCGACCAAAGTCCTGACTTCTGCATTATATTTTCTTTGGAGTGTGGAAAGACTGTCTGTAGGAAAATACATGCAGCAGACTTCTGACTACAAGGCATATGAGTTTGGTTACAGCAACACATATCAGTGATCTTTTTGTATCAACACACTTTCAAGCAATAGAAAAACTCCAAGGCACTATCTTTGAAACAATAAAGATGCATTTATTTCCACGGCATGGTCCTGTGGACGTTTTTAAAAAACACACTTGGACACATTTCAGCATCAAGCCTTCATCAAGAAGTCAAACAGATGAACAGGAACACTGAGGAATGTATAGTGGTTCTCAACCAGTAAAAATAATTCCCTACCTGGAGCTAGAGGTGTGGTCTGCAGAGGGTGGGTGTGTACACCTAAAAACTCAACGGGATGGCGTTGTTAGGGCCAATGCATCCAAAAACTGATGGCAAAACGGGAATGAAAATAACACAACATAAAAAAAGACATGATCCTGATTGTAAGAGATTAAAGACAACAAACAACTCTGAAATAACGCAGCAAATATTTTCAAGAAAACAGTCAAATAAAAGATCTTCATTAAGGCCAGGGTGTTTTGCAGCCTGTGAATTATTTAAATCCTACATAGGAAAACGTATGGGGAGAAAATCAAGAGTTAGAATATCTTATAATAATGAATCAACACATTGAAAGTGAAAAGGGATAGGCCTACAGATTAGGGAAGACTCATTTTTTCTGAAAAAAAAAAAAAATCAAAGCAAGTGTTGTGTATGAGTGAAGAGGTCATTTAAAAGAGCCATAGTAAGCACATCCTGGCACTGGCACTAAACAAAGCAGTGCACACATGCATTAACAGCAGATGGCAGTGAGAGTCTGTAATGTTGCCTTATATAGAGTAGAAGAAGAAATCACAGTTTATTTCCTGAAGGGGAAGAAGCCGTACTGTATGAGAGATGTGGGCAGCAGGTGGTCGCCTTTCCCCAATGTTAGCGGCAGGAGTCGTTTCTTCTTGTGTGCGGGTTGTCAGGTGTAACAGAAGGGGGAAGTTACCTGCCGGGTCCGTCACACTGATCCCGAGGAGAGCGCACCGCGTCACGCAGCACGGGAACACAGGTAACACTGCTGTTGGGCTCCAGTTGGTTTCTGTTCTGAAACAGGCTCAGATCACACAAGGCCTGTTCATTTAGAAGAGTTTCTTTCTTTTATCGTCTTGTGAATAGATCTATCTCATTGTCTCATAATAAATCTTCCTTACCTCCATGAAAGGCTATTACATATCTGCACTGTGTCCACTGACGTGTCTGTCTTATACAATGATTTATTCTTGTTAAAACAGAATCTAAGAAATGCTTAAAACGAATCGAAACAATTGCCATTGTGTTGTTTTTGTATGTCTACTTCAGCTAAGGCTACTTGAAGGGAGATGAGGGTGATCATGACTTTAAAGTGTAGATTTTCATCCATACTGGTTTAAGGAAATGGGAAACAGGTTCTTCACTGTTCACCAGCTTGCTGATGTAATCATTCTCATTTTCAATCACTTCAGCTCCATAGTCATTGTTTCATCAAAAGTTATCCCCTTCTTCTTATCGGCCTCTATTCTGTCCCCTTTGGCGTTACTGTAGCCCACTGACCTGAGAGAGGCCAGCTCTGGGAATTGTGGGAGGTGAAGTCTAGTCTCACTATGTTGTCTTCCTTCTAAGGGAAGCTGGAGCGAAACGGAGAGGCTAAGAAGTCAGTGGTGAGTGTACGAGTTTTCATTGGTAACCCTACAGCAAATACCTGAAGAAGATCTGCACGTAATAGATGTTGCTGCAGTTTCAAGAGTAGTTTTCATTATTGCTTATGCACACAGTGACTAAAGATACTAATAATGATGCTTCTTTATATCATATTCAAGTCCTCTACTTCTTCATTTCTGTTGATCTCTTTCGTAGATCTGTCTTGAGGGGAACATTGCCTGTGGGAAAACTACATGTCTGAATTACTTCAGCGAAACCAGCAACATAGAGGTATGATGACAAAGAGTGCCTACCAGGACATACCCCTCAAGTTTACATGAGCTAATAAAGGCTGGACTATAGATTCAAAGTGTCTTGGTAAAAGGTGTAAACTCTTTAAGTATTGAACAGTATACCTTGTGTGCTTCCCTCACTTGCCCGAATACTCGATCATTCGCTCATTTGAAAATGATGTATTGAAGAAAATGCCCCCAGAAGATAAAAATGAAATCCAACTCTTAAGTCCAGTGTTTCAGCAAAGTCATTCCACTAGTGTCGTGATCTCGCAGCCAAAGACATCAGCAGTGTGATGTTATTGTTCTTACCCTCTTTTGTTTGTTTCAGGTCCTAACAGAACCCATCTCACAATGGAGGAATGTCCGTGGCCACAACCCTCTGGTACTTCACTTACACTGATGTTCTTATTGTGTCCTAGTTCTGACCTGACATCAGACCTACTTCATCGGGTCAGAACAACAAAGTGTTTGCAGGATTGTTTCTATGAACATTAAAGAAACGGTAAACAGACTGCTCTCATACTGCTTTTCTAGTCTTCTGACCAGAAAGAGAATTTCAAACTACATTATTCTATATTCACACACGCTTATTACACTGTATGTCGAGGCTTTCGTGCAATATGCCTACTAAACAGGATCTGACATTCAAATGCAAAGACACGCCATATTGTCTGTTATAGACCACAGCTGATATTAGGGGGTTTTCCATGTGTATCAAGAACTTATCCCAAGAAAGGATAAGCGATGTCAGCGCTAAGACTCCCTTTTATTTGTCATTGTTTTACAGTCCAACTTGCATCTTCAAATGAAAATGAGCGGCAACATCCATGGTTGTTTTTTTTTTGTGCAAAGTAACTCTTAAAAATAAAAATAATAAAAGATGAATAGATGTTTTATTATCGCAAATTTCAGCCACCTCTCAGTTGTATCACTCAGAATGTTTTTCAGCATGCAAACAGAACAGATTCAAATATCATGAGTCCACTCCACTTTCTACATCATGAAGTAAGAACATTTCATGACTTCACAGGTTGTGCATTCATTAGGTGTTCAGTATTTTGACTTCATGCAGACTGAAAGAGGTGGAATCAACCTGCTTTTTCTGAAACTTTTGGTTTATTCGACAGCCAATGTACCTCCTAGTCGCCATCAACAAAGCTGCCCACAATAGAGGAGTCCTCTTAAAATGGAAAAATAACTTAATGTGTGAAGAACTACTAAAGGTTCCCCCATTGTTGAATACAACAAAGGAAGGAGTGAAACGTGTGTTTTCATGATTCCTGTAAACTGATGCTTTGAATTCATGGCAATTTGTGATCTTAATGTACAGCTCACTAATATCCTTCTTCACAAAAAACATTCCCTGTAAATCTCCCATGACTCACAGGGAATCAGCTTTTTGTTTCTGTTGCTGCAGGGTCTTATGTACCAGGATCCTGAGCGCTGGGGCATCACACTGCAGACATATGTTCAACTCACCATGCTGGATAGACACCTGTCACCTATCGTAAGTGAACTAAATAAATGTATACTGGTGCGTATACATGCCAACACTGTTGTTGGTTTCAAGTGTTTGTAGTTGTGGGAAAATATGACTATGTACATTTATATACTGAAAGTGTCCTGTTTGTTCCAGTCAGCTCCTGTCAGGATGATGGAAAGGTCCATCTTCAGTGCCAAATACATCTTCGTGGAGAATCTCTTCAGAAGGTATTTTTGATCTGTGCTTATGGAAACATCAGACCTCGATATTATAACAGGACTAGATCAATAAATAATGATTTCAGAACGCAGTTAAAGCCTAACTCTCATACTTGTCTGTTGGATTCACATCACACAACTGCTGCTGTATTTACAGTATTGGCTGAATTGAGATCATAAGCCCAGTAATGGTCATAAAGGTTTATATTGTCATGTTCTCTCCCATGACAGCATACTGACACGGTTATTACTTTTTTTCTTCTTGTGGATTTTTGTCATCAGTGGGAAAATGCCTGAGGTGGACTTTGCAGTTCTCAGCGAGTGGTTTGATTGGATCACAACAAACATATACCTTCCTGTTGATCTGATTGGTGAGAATACAAAAAAAAAAAACACAGAAACAAATTCTGCAAAAATTCACGAAGTTAAAAAAAACCAACACAATCCATAGAGGCAGAGTCGGCTGCTGATGCATGACTTAGTGCACACAGGTATACGTGAACATAGCATCAAACTTGGTACACAGTACTGACCCAGAATCAGCTCCATCCTCTCAACACCTAATCCTGCCATTTGATTTAGTACAACAGGGATTCTCTATAGAATATGTTCTACATGGTTTCAATCGCCTGAGTTTTATTTTTTTTGAAAGATTTTTTTGGGGCTTTTTGTGCCTTTAATGGAGAGATAGGACAGTGGATAGAGTCGGAAATCAGGGAGAGAGAGAGGGAATGACATGCGGGAAAGGAGCCACAGGTGGGATTCAAACCTGGGCCGCCCGCTTGGAGGACTACAGCCTCCATACAAGGGGCACGCACACTAACCACTGAGCCACCAGCGCCCCAATCTAGTGATTTTTAATAAGTTGCGGTGAAATTATTTTAGCAGGTCAAATCATATAGCATGTCATCACTCAGACTAAGTCATCAATACGAAAGCTATCCATCCTTCATTAGCACCTGAGAGCTAGCTATCCCTCCCTTCAGCCAGAAGAGCACAAGAAACAAAATGTTTAACAATCACATTTGAAGCTGCAGCTGCTTGCTGACATGCATTCTGTGATATTTTCCTTGGGATCCAGTGTACCTGCAGGCGACTCCTGAGAAATGTCATGAGAGGCTGAAGCAGAGGAGCAGAGAAGAGGAGAAGGTCATTCCATTGGTGAGGGCACAAACTGAAACCTTGTTTCATTTCACAGAACAAATAAGTCATCATTGAACTTGAAAGGAAATGAATTGTTTTTGTGTTTTTTTTAGTTTTTTTTTAGAGAATAGATAGCTAACATTTTGGACAGACGACCAATTTGTCATTTCAAAGAAGACCTCAATCTTCTGTGTTTGTGTTCATGCATCCATTAGGAGTATCTTGAGTCCATTCACCAGCTGTATGAGGACTGGCTCATCAAGCGCACATCCTCCCCTCTTCCTGCTCCTGTTTTGGTGAGTGGCCATTCACATCCAGGCAGTTCTTTGCTTTGGTGCAACTAGGTTGCCCAAATAGCACGAGTACCTGTACACCATGTGTTCCCACTTTATGGATCCTGTGATGTTTCTGAATTCAGCGTCATGAAAGTAACTCCTAGCATTGATTCTTATCTGTTATTTAGTAATATAGAAGACAGAATATGTTTGTTTTTATTTGTGTTGGGTGTGTCTGTGCAGGTTATTCCAGCTGACCATGACCTCAATGAGATGCTGCACCAGTATGAAGAAAACCGTGACAAAATCCTACATGCTTGCTACCTCTGAAACACACACACACACAAAGGCACGAACAGCAAAGGGAGCTTTGGAAGAGGATTTGAAACCTCTCTTATAAAACTGATCTGTTCAGTACTGAAGGAGAGCTCAGTCAAGCAGCTCAATCGCTTAGAGTTGAAGTTTTAGCAATAACACAAGTTATTTATTTACATGTGATTTGTAGTCAATCACACTTCATTTACTTCTTAAGGGTTATGTAAAGATGCTTATTTAATAATGATCTCACCTACAGGACAAGAAAAGTCAAATATTCCTTCTGTCATTTTAAACTATGAAGATTAACGGAGTCATTCCAAATCACGGGCAGTTTCTTTTCCAGGTGTTAATAATTTGTTTGTATTTATTTCACTATTTGTTGTCATGTACTCAAAGTCAGACCACATGTTGTTACAAGGGGACCTCAAGTACATTAGGGTTTGATTTTTGGGTGTAATAACTTGTCATATAACTGGAGCATCGGTTACAACAGATTTTACTTTATGTGTTACTTTATGTACTGCAACGGGATTTTACTGAAGATTGACTTGAATAATGAAATGTTTCTCTGTAATTGCCTTTAATGAATGGAAGCTTTGTTCTCTTTGTTACATGTTTTGCTTCATTAATAAGAACATTTTGTTATCCTAACTTGCTTTAGCGTTTTTTTTTTTGCAATTCTCATTAAAACGGTTTGATGTTGTATTTAGACATTAACAACCTATCAACATGCATTCTGGGTTTAAAATGTAGGCCTAGTTTCTACATACTGTGATGATATGTGTCCAAAGTAACAGCATGAGAAAAGGTGATCATTAGATCACATCCAGTTGACCTGAAATCTTGGAACAAAAAAGAAAAAAGCATTCATGAAACAGCAGCTGATGTCTGCATCTCTCCCAGATATCCAACCAGTCGAAAAAGCCTTTAACAACACCCTGCATGAGATGTTACAGATGAACTTTGTCTACCAGTAGCCAAAGTGACCCGGTCCAAATGGTGTCCAAACTGCCTTCTCTAATACAGACTACAAACATGTGAGAGGGTTCATTTGAGTTATTTGGCCTGGAGCCTCCATGTTGCAGATGTGCTTCCCCGACATCCTACACCGTGACTCCCAACACCAGCGCCCCTTGGGAAATGCATCGTCAGCCCTCTCCTGTGTTCTGCATTTAAGTCGACCTACAGAGGGGAGATCAGATCCCTAACATCTTGGCGCCAGGACAAATGCCTCCATTTCAACATTAGTATAACAATGCAAGTGATTGTTGACGTTAGGGAGAGACAGACAGAAGCGTTGGACATATACTTGAACTCAAACGTATTGAATTCAAATTAATTTACCATAAAATATGTTCACAGCCAATGTGTCCTAAAAGTTATGAATCTGAATCATTTTCATGCATGCTTATCATAAAGCAGATTTTCTACCATGCTGCTGTTTTTTGAAGATTGGTGTGTTTCAGTGGTTGATTGGTAGAAAAGTGAAATCCCATTGGCTAAAATAAATGTGTTCAATTCCGATAATGACGTCTGGGCTTATCCCAGGTGTCCTCTTAATTTGACATGACTGGAAAACCTCCAAAGGGAGGTGCCCAGGTGGCATCACCCACAGTACCACACTGGCTCTTCTGGATGCAACAGAGAAGTTGCTTCACCCTGAGTTCCTCTGGATGTCCTAGCTCTTCACTTTGATTCTGAAATATTTCAAAAATGCAGTCTTTTTTTAAAACGTTTATTGGTTGACACATTTCCATTACTCTTGCATCCGGACGTGAAGTGAATACAACTACACATCTTTCCATCAGATCAGTTTCATACTCTACATGTAAACCACTGCTTATCTTTCAGCAGGGAGGATGTGATTCTTCCGGATTTGGTGCAAGAAAAAGAAATCTGGAGAGACTCCCGGACCCCTCTTCATTTGACAGTGCCAAATATTAAGCTATCGAATGACAATAAATACATCTAAATAATCTTAAATTGTAGGCAGAGCATTGGTGCATTTAAACAATTAATACATTTTTTTCTACTTCTTATGTTGCATTTTTCAGTAAAAAAACAAAAAAACATGGTTAAGTTGTAAAACTGTTTTGCCATTCTGTAAGAAAAAAAAAACACAGACTGTTACTGCTGAAACACTAAATAAACCCACTAGCTTTTCAGCAGCCAAAGCAGCAGAATAAATGATCTGTGCAGATTTCAAACTGGGGTGCACAAAGCTAACACTGCATTTTTTAAACTCTTACTCTAATTGATATATATTCAGATAAAGAGCATTGAGAGGATGTTATTTCTTGCTATGCTCAACTATAACATAGCTCTGTGCCAGCTGCTCTTCCTCTCTTTGGCCTGTTTCTGCTCCTTTGGTATCGTTTCTCTGCTGCCCTTCGCTTCCTCCTTGAACACTCTGCGAGTCTGTTGTACTGTTGGTCAGCACAGAGGGCTGCTTCTGCGCTTTTGTTACTGCAGGACCAGACTCTGAAGGTGTGGTGCATCTTCTGGCAGCATGGCTCGGTGCTGGACCCGTCTCCGGCAGTGGATTTGTAAGGTTCTGCTCCTCTGCCTTTTCCTCTGTGCTTGGTTTTCTCTCATGTCTCCCTCTGTTCTTTTTCTCCTCTCCTTTCATGTCATCTTGTTTTTGCCTTCCTTCTTCTTTGGTCTCCTGCACAAGGAGCTGGCCCATCTTCACATCAAGCTCTTTAACATTCTGCTTCCTGTCCTTGGACCTCAATGAGGGTAGCTTTTGGTTTTGGCTGTCTGTAAAAATCAGAGTTTCACAGTTTCACAGACTGCACTTAATCAAGTTCTAAAAATAGAACGAAAAGCATCTGCACAACAATTCTCCCTGTCCATTTCACAAGAAGAGAATAACCATGAATAGAATTCAGCTTCTGATTTACAATGTTATCAAAGTGTGCCAGTGTGTGTTACCTGTTGGAGTCTGTTGTGTCAAGGGAAGGGCCTCTTCTGCGGTCTGACGCTCCCCAGGCTTAAGACTCTGCTCTGCTGTGGCTCCAGCCCTGCTGCCTCCGTCAGTGTTACAGGAGCTGCTCGTGATGTCGTCTCCAGGGGCGGCAGTCTGACTCTGGGACCGGTTATTGCAATCACTGCATTTGACATTTTCCACAAACACATCATCAGCACTTGTGCCGTGAGTTTCTTTGCGGATAGTTGTAGCAGCACTTTTGGTGGCCTTCACAGAATCTCTTTTGGAGAGATTGGCAGCTTTACTGTCATCAGGGGTGTTAATACTGCTGACAGTATGTACAACTTTACTGCTGCTCCTGCTGCTGTTTGCTCGGTGAGGTTTGTCTGAAAGCAGAGGGCGGCCCCTAAAGGCAAGGTCAGGGTAGTTCATCTGCATCTCCATAATGGATTGGTCATGACTGTTGATATGACAACGCTGAGGCTTGGGCTGTGGTTTCACTGCAATCCTGCTGTCCAAATGCAGCGGCACCTAGCGGGGCACAAGGGTGAGCTCAGTACAGTATTTTATTTTTAAGATTTATTTTGGGGGATTTTTTGACTTTATTGTTAGGACAACTGAAGAGAGACAGAAAATACAGGGAGGAGAGAGCGGGATAGAAAAGCACCAAGTTGAACCTGCAGCCGACGTGCTGAAGACTACAGGCTGTACCCTCGTTATATGGAGCGCAGAAACTACTGAATGAGTTAAGTGGTGCTCTAAAGCGAGTTTGTCAAAAGGTACAGTCAGTAGAAATGTTTGTAAACATAATCACACACTCACTGTAAGACTATATCGTGTATGTTTACTGCCTGTAGCTACACTGCAAGCTACCTGAGAATCTGCCTATTAAATTAGTTGTAATGGAAAAGTCCATTATTTAGCACACTAGCAGAAGCTTACCGCTGGTGTTCACCACCTGCCTGTGCAACAGAAAGCAGACTGACTTTGTGTCCGCGGGTGAAAGCCACCTAAAGGTTGGGGGAACACCCGCTCCCCACCCAAACGGGTTGTGTTGTTGAAAAAACTACTGACTCTACCTTTAAATCCAAAAATGTGTTCCTTTCACCTCATTTGTTTCATGTTTGCACCTGAAACTTTGTTTCAGACAGTGTGCTTCCTTTTAAAAATAAAAGGAAAAAAAAAATCAGTGATGAGAAATCATTGAAGCATATTCTAAAATGAATCAGACATCGCCACATTGTCCTCTACCTTGAGCTGCCAGTTATATAAAAGCCTTTTTGAAAATCTTTAAAAAACATTCTTCACTCTGCCCTACCTCGTTTCCTTGTTCCTCTTCCCTCTTCTTCTCCTCTTCATTTTGCCCTGCTGTACATGTTGCCTTCTTGTCTGTTGTTTCCTCGGGTTTAGTCGGCCCCAGTCTTCTGTGGAGAACCTCCTGCCACTCCTGCAGTGCAACATAACAACTGTCACATAGACGCCCCAACATGAAAGTTACCTGGCTTTGCCCATGCCTAAGTGTACTGGTACAAACCCAACTGCTTTTACTTCATGTACAGGGCTGAGGTATCACAATCACAACGCCATTTTTTACACTAGTTTTCCAAAAGTAAGGCTACGAAGTATTTCAAGGAGAGCTGCTGTTTGATTTAAGTGTAATACTGGTCCTACCAGTTGTCCCGTCTGAACTGAGTCATGGAGCTCCAGTAGACGATCACATTCCACCCTGGCCAACATCAGCTCAAAGCCCATCAGCATGACTCTGTTTTGATTACCATCTTCACTGAGTCTGTACTCACTAACAAACAGGAGAACAACACAAAAAGCAATGAGATGATGGACCCAAATTTGCCCAAGATTCTGGCACATTTCAGGAACAGGGCAATTCATTGTGCTTCACACAAGACATCGAAAGCATCAATACAAAAAAATAAAAACATTAAAATAGAAAATTTTAAAAAATCACTAAACAAACCATTGACAATCACAGAAAAGATTAAATATCAAAACTATTTTAAAACGCAACACAATTTGCAACAAAGATTTTCTCACATTTGTAGTTTTGCAGCAACAATGTGTAATGTAAAAAAAAAAAAAAGTCAAGTTGTGTGTCTTCTAAATGATACCTATTGTCTCTTTCTTCAAATGTCTGGACTAGAAATACTAAAAAATACTTGGCTGAATTTCTGACCTATTACATAGTATGTGTTTTTAATGTCACTCTTATACTTGTTCTTCTTCTTCTTGTTCCTTACCTTAGTGGAGTGTCAGTATGGGGCAGGTATCCAATAGAGGCCAGGACTGACTGAAGGGTAGAGCTGCTGAAAACTGGCAGGAGACAGTAAACAAATGGACCTGTAAAAGTCTGAAAGAGACATCACGTCCATTAGCCGAATAAATGATAATGTTTTACAAAACTACATCATTTGGTCAAAAGATCATTTGTCATTCTAAAGTTAAAAGAAAACAAACCCATGGTAGACCATCATTTTCTCAACAATTCTGGAGAACATTGCAATTTTACCCCAGTTTAGTCTGATGGTAATTCTTTCATTTATAAAAGGCTTTTATCGTCTGTGTAGAATCACGCCAGCTACAGTATTTGTAGACACCTTGCTGTATTTTGTTCATTGGTTTGTGAGAGACTGGAACCATGCTCTTTGTTATTTAAGTGCTGGTGCAGCTTCAACAGCAACTACAGCTCTTTTCAGATAATCAAATATGATCTTAATCAAACAGCTGAATAGTTCTGATATCATGTAACATATAGACTCAATTATGGGTGATGATAACTCAGGGTTTGATAACCCCTGGCTTCTCTCAAGTTCCAAAAGCTCAGCCCTCTTCACTGGCCCCAAGAAACTGTGATAGGAATGGACAAAATGTAGGGCAAAAACAAATGAGTGACTACATTCACTTCTTTTACAGTCTATTGTGTAGACATGTTAGAGTGTTTTTATTTACTTTATCAAGTCCTGGGTACACATGATACCTAGCTACCTATTGATCTAGTCTTTTTTTTAATTAAATAAATTGGGTTAAATGTGACATTTGTCTTTTATCAAGTTTAAGAAGTTGTGTTCAATCAAATTATACCTGGCCATTAATATTTTGGGGAAATTAGAGTTGGAGGAAAGAAAGAAAGAAAGAAAGAAAGAAAGAAAGAAAGAAAGAGAGAGACAGAAAGATAGAAAGAAAGAAAGAAAGAAAGAGAGAGAGACGGAAAGAAAGAGAGAAAGATAGAAAGAAAGAAAATAGATATAGTGTTCTTCTACCTTCAGTGTCTTGATTTCCTTCTTCCAGGGCTGCAGGAGCAGATTAACACAGAGAGTTTCCAGAAGTTCAGTAGCTTTAATGTAAGTAGAGAGAAATGTCCTGTATTCTTCAGTGTGGGCTTCACATCCCTCACTCACAGACTGATAGAAAGGGAAGAGGGTGAAAGACTCTCTCGGTTCTGGTTCTCTCTGGAGATACTGAGCCGCCTTCTCAAGCAGCTGCTCGTCGCGGCACGGTCCAACCTTTGTACACAGATGAAGAAAATATCTCTCATAATGCTCAAAAACACTCTGGCGTGAAACCTCCGTCTTTTCTCCAACTTCGACACCGTCCTTCATGGCTGTTCACACGACGGACAGAGACTTTCTAATCTAACTGTGCTGAGGAAGAAGAAGCGCTTTCAAACTTAACAAGGAAGTGAAAGTAAAGAGTTGCTCTGCTCATCTCGGTTCACCTTTCATAAACTATTTAGATTTACGCAGTATGATAAATAAATGAATAAATAAGATAAATACGTTTTTTTTCTCCTTCAACATCACGTTTCATCTTTAGACATAAGATTAGAAATTCTTAAAGTCATCAAATAAAAAGAAGCATTAGAGAATATGACTTGTTATTGTATTGTAAGTTGCTCATGAAGTAGAAATAAGTCATGCTTTAAAATGACAATGCCTCACTGTTGTGCCGTGTAATCTACTGTCAGGGTATCACTGGACAACACTTCATCACGTTTTTTAAAATCATCTGACAATCATACTATTTCAAGAGACTGCGTGACACGAGGAGAGAGGTGACGTGCTCTTGAAGCACACGACAGTAGAAACTGTGCACCGACTCTGGGTTTAAGGTTTAATTGCTGCGATTCCATGATGTCACGACTCTTATTTTGAAATCCAAACAGGTGTTTTATTCTGAAAACCCTCTATCGGGATGTATGACTTTTTCTATCCGGGTTAGTTGTGAATCGTATTCACGCGGTCAGATGTTCAGACCCTACATACTGTGTACAGAGATTTGAACAGAGGATTTGATGACATTTGAACATGTGGTCGCGTCTGTGTTAAGGTAAATGATCATATGTGACATTTCTTCTTTCGGAAACATTTGGGGGTGTGTGTCTAAGTTTAGTCATGCCTTTATCCAGCCATGATGCCCCTCTGATAAACTCACACACTTGATGGTGTGTCTGTGTTTTAAAGTAGTTTACTGCCTTCAGTGATCACTACACATCATAGAAACAGTGTTATAGAATAGACACTCATAGATCATTACATTACAAACCGGTAGTCATCCTTCATTTCAAACAGCCTCCTGTTTCATTTAATCATTGTTACTCGTAGTTTCATTATTCAGGAAAGTATTTTATATACCGTGAATTACTTTTCATAGTTTTGTTGAGAATAAGAAGTTATCTATGATCTACACTTTTCAACTCTAGGTTCTGGCATATCATGATTTATAATACCTGTAAACCTGCTTGATTGTGTATTTTTTAATGTCACATTGATTCTAAATGTATGGTAATGATGATAAATGGTTTATTTTCCATGCTGCACATATAAGTTAGAAATGATGTGGAATGAAATTGGATTAAACAACTAAATTATAAGTAGATTGTCGCAGAGTCATCTTATGTGTTGACTACAGATACAAGTTTGGCTGGATCCGGACTTTCTTTTGACCATAACTTTTGACTGACTCTTATAAAGCAATTGTAGAATTCATGCTGTGATAACATGTCTCACATTAGTCTCGTTTTGTCTCGTTTGGGCCGCTGCAGGATCAGAAAACTACAAACATGAAGAATAGAAGTGGTGGCTCTGTGGACGGTCGGCTCAGGCAGAGAGTGGAGCAGGTACGAGTCTGTGTTGGAGCCATGGATGGATATAATTGTATTTGTAGTATTTATTTAAAGTTAAGGTAGTCTGTTATATATTGGTGTTTTGGGTTATTGATTATTCTATCATTTATTAGGGTTATATTGAGTAGGGGGATGTCGGGTCACATGGGTATGGGTGGAGATGTGTTGATTTAACTCACCTGTCGGACAAAGATATGAAGCCCAACCTTAACCTCTCAGCGGCTTCATCTTCAGGAAAGCTGCTATATTCTTCTTGTACTAAATGTTATATTCAGTGGTATTCATTGAACAAACACACTTGTGAAAATGTAGGATGAGCAGCTTAGCTCCCAGTTCCTCTAGTTTCTTTTGCCCTAGTTATTAAATATCATCCTAGGAGATTTACATATCATACATGAAAATAAAACTAACTTTGAACAGAGGTCCAGTCACAGTAAAGAGTCCTGATGATAGTGCTACAGCGACTTCTGAAAATTCAGACAACTTTGCGTATTTCACCAAACCTTTTTTTTTTTTTAAACTATCTTCATTTTTGCTTAATTGACTTGAAAATCACCAAACAGACAACCACATTTGATTTCCAGCTTTGAAAGACTGAGCCCACAGTTGACTGTCATCAAAATACTAATAATATGTTTCATTCTATTTTCAGTATCTGGAAACCAACAACAGTGAATATGTGGACCTTTCAGCCACTGCTCTGGAACTTCAAAGACAGTACAGGCAAGTTCATCATAACAGGACTCTGACCATGACTCACCATGACTGACCATGACTGACATGCATCATTAATGCATTAACCAACAATGAGATAAACATGTGTCAGTTCAACAACAACACAAACTTCACCCTTCATGATGATCACTGAAGAACAGCAGGGCCTTCATGAAGTTAAGACTTTCTTCAGGCTTGTTCAACCAAACTGTAGTTCTTTTTCTTTCTGGAAAATTGTCCCTATTCACATATTGGGTGTATATCGATATTTTGTTATGTTGATGGCGTTTTTTTATTTTTATTGTCTCCTTAGAATAGAATATGGAAGAAGAAATAAGACAGCGTTCAGGATACAAGTAGAAAAAGGTAAGAGTATCAGACATGAAGGATGCCTTATGACACTATGATAGAGTTGAGTCTTACATGTGTCTCCATGGTGATTATTTAAACAGTAAATGTAATATTCTATTATTGTAAGAACAAGAATTAAACGCATGACCTTTCGTGCCTTGTGTCCCAGCCCGTCCATTCCAATTTCAATGATGAATACAACTAAATATTCCAAACTGAGAATATGTGCTTTGAAGAAATGTGATTGGTCTTTTCCGTTTGCCTCTCCTAGTGTATGAAGCCATCATGAAGGAGTCTGGCCTTAATGAACTGGAGAGCAAACACTTGGCTAAGAGAGCCAAGCACAGCCACAATGATAAAGGGTAAAGGATCCTTTTCTTTCTCCCGCCTGATTTAGACCATCAGGATAATGTCTTCTTACTTTAGGGCTCTAACAGTCTCTCCTCTTTTTGTCCTTTGTGTCCTTAATGTTCACAGAGACGGAAGCAGCAGCAGCTCAGAGTCCTCTGACAGCGATGACCCCATTCTGGAGAACCCTGTAAGAAGTGATGTGGTTTCAAGTGTAATCACATGTTAAGTAATTAGCCCTGCCAATGAAGACAAGTTCATTTTAAAAGAGGGATTTTAAATGGTCAATGGACTTGAGCTTGTATAACACTTTTCTAGTCTTCTGACTACTTTTACACCACATGTCACACCCACACATTCACACACTGATGACAGAGTCTGCTGTGTAAAATGTCCATCAGTATTAACTTATCCATTCATATACATTCACACCCCGCCGACGAGGCAGTGGGAGCAACTTTGGGATAAGTGTCTTGCCCAAGGACACATCGGACATGTGACTGCAGGAGCTTGGGATAGAACCTGTACCTTCCGGTTGAGAGACTCTTACCACACAGCCGTCCCTATGCTATATAAACATGAAGAATGAATGTTTGATACATTGATAATGATCTGTGTCAAAGTCCAGTGATAGACTTTCAACAGACTTTTTGTAATCAATAATACTTTGAGATTAAACAGTGACTAGGGCCACTGAGATATAGCAAATGGAATACATCATGCTGCTTTGTTGGCCTTGTTTTTTTTCGCAGGATCGCTCTTCGTGCGTGTTTACAACTCTTGTTTGTTGTTTGTTGTTTGTTGTATTCAAACTGTGCCTTTAAAATGGTGGCAGAAGCTTTAGCTGGGCTACCAGTTCACCTCTCCTTCTAGTTTAGTGCAAGGGAAGGCTCAACAGATCCTGGAACTAGAAGTGTCCTGGATGTGCTGATGTTCACAACCATCCTGTAGTCTAAAAGACATGGGCTAGACAGCTTACACACATTTCTTAAATATTGGACCCTTAAGAAATGAAATGTAAAGCCTGTTTTAACACCTATGTTTAACAATCCTGTGTTGCTTCATTTTGCCATTCACAGCCCAACAACCACATGAACACTTCTCTTACGTCTCTGTACCGGAAGGGACAGCCTGACTCCAGCAGCTGCTCACCCAGGAGAGATCAGCCTGCTGCTAGCAGTCCCGCACGTATCGCTGACCCCCCTCCCAGTGCAGGGACGCTGGTTTCCGCAGGAGGTTGGTTCATTGATAAAGGCAGAGGCAATAAGGGCAACATCCTCATCGACCTGTGTGAAGAGGAGCCAGATAATACAGCAACAAATGTAAGTGCCTGTGGAGGGCTCGTCTACACAGCAAACACAAAGGACAGTCTACATCCTGTTAGAGGAACTCAGTCGTTTGACGTTTATTTTGTCCTGGGGGGAAAAAAGGATTTTTAAGTCAGTAGTTTTAGAAATGAATCCAGAACAATATTTTTTATATAAAAAGAGAGGAATACTCATTTTTCTCTGAATGATTTTTGCAGCTTTTTATGTGAGAACTGTGAACAAGACATTTAGTGAGCAGGACATTTTCAACTTGACTATATGACTCCAACATTTCTTTGAAAAGATTTAAAAAGGCACAACAAAATGCAAGTTTTAACAACAACATGTTTTAACAACAACAAGTTGTTTGTGACGTCCTGGCTCAGTGTTTGATTAGTAAGGTCTTCTTGAATTATTGTCTGTATATATTGGAAACTCCCTCCTCATTCCTATTGGCCAAATTCATTTTTTCAACAGTCGGTCAAAACTTGGTGTAGTTTTTTTAAATAGAACACATTTGAATGTACATCGATTTCCTGTAACCCTTTTTTTCATTTTTTTTCAAGCTGTAGTACAATTTACAAGTCTGACCCTCTAACTCTTACTGAAACTCTTACTTGTTTAGCTGAAGGTACTTCTCTCACGTCTTGTCTGTTTTGTGACCAGCAGACAGATGTGTCGATGTTGGAGTCTGTGAAAAATCCCAAGAAGTACAAAAAAAGGAAGAACTACAAAAAGAACTCCACTGAAACCGCTGATTCCTACAGCCAGAACAAAAAAGGTATTATGCTCACTCCAGGTGTCCAGTGTAACTATATCACATGTTTTTTTTTTTGGGATGTTGAACATCACACAATAATATCAAACAAACAGCCATTTATGTTGTTTACGGCCACTTGATATCACAAGTGTTTTGTTTTTTGTTGATTCCCAGCCAAATTAAAGTCACCAGAGCTGCAGTATCCCTCTCTGAAGTTTGAAGATGTAGGAGGTAACGAAGACACATTAACGGTTAGTACCTTTACATTTGTTTACCCTTGTGGCTGTATTCAATGTTCTGGTGTTGTGAAAATGTGATGGCAGCAGCGTGTCATTGGCACTTACATTGTCCACTAGGAGGGACTAATAATCATTTCTCAGTGGGGCTGTGATGAAGCAAAGCATGTCTTAGATTATCGATTTGCTTTCTAGTTTTCACTGGCTGTGATGACTATGTGCCCATTTACAGGAGGTGTGTAAGCTGCTCATCCACATACGTCACCCAGAGGTGTACCAGCAGCTGGGAATGGTTCCTCCGAGGGGCTTTCTCCTCCATGGACCTCCTGGCTGTGGAAAGACACTGCTGGCTCAGGCTGTAGCTGGGGTGAGTAATGGGAAACACACCATTAACTGTTAGAAAAAGTGATTGATTTGTTTATTTCAGTTATTTTGGGAGGTGGGGGCTTTTTGCATTCATTGGATAGGACAGTGGACAGAGTGGGAAACCAGGGAGGGAGAGTGACATGCAGGAAAGGAGCCACAGGTCAGACTTGAACGCGGGCCGCCCCCCTTCAGGGACTACAAGCTCTACAAGAATAATGTACAATACAACATTTACAAGCCTTACCTTCACCCGACTGTTCTGAAGAACAAGAACACGTTCAGCGTTCTTACAGTGCACAGGATAACTTCACTGATGTTTGTAAAGCATATTCAATGGAGAGGTTCGATTTATTTTATTTTTTTTCAAGTATGCTTCTTGTTTGACACTAAACTGTACTCTGTATATATATATTTCCTTTAAGTCCCCATGAAATGAAAAAAATAAACAAAAACATATTCCCCGGTTTTAATCCAGAATAAATAAAATGTATGGAGCCAGTATTTGGGGTTGGACTTCAACTTCCCTTTGAGGTTTTAACTTTGGAAAGATGAACATAAGACTGTACAGTAGGATTCTGCAAATAAATCTACGTTTTGATTTCTGACACTCATTATATATTTAAGAAGAAGTGTAGAATCTAACTACATTAACGCAAGACAGCATTTTCACTGCATCAATTAAAGCACTGTCAAAGATTTGTGTCTCTCAATAGAACTACAAATGGCTAAGTGTCTCAAAACTTTTCTTCATCATTTCTGCCAATGACTCAGAACGACTCCTGTCTTCACAGACAGCATGGATACAAACCATCGCTCATATCAACCTCAAGTTTCAGGAGATAAAGTCATATCCATTCTCACACGTAGAAGTTCTACTTTTGGAACAACTTTCCCTCATTGTAAAGGCTGTGTGTATTTGATGGGATGTTTTAGGAGCTGCAGCTGCCCTTGTTGAAGGTGTCTGCTCCAGAGCTCGTGTCCGGAGTCTCCGGGGAGTCTGAGCAGAAACTAAGAGAGCTGTTTGACCTGGCTGTGGTTAGTATTTCATTTCTTTTTTTTATAACATTCTGAAGGTCTTAACAACAGACCTGAGGCTGGAGGAGATATAAAAGGAACAGGTAAACAGTCACTGGTCACGTTCCTGAGGCACCATGGAACAGTATTACTGCTGTCATTGACATGTTTTGGGTTACCTTAATCTTTTATCTTTTGGATCTTGCAGAGCTCTGCACCGTGTATCCTGTTCATAGATGAGATAGACGCCATCACCCCAAAGAGAGAGGTGGCCTCTAAAGACATGGAGAGGAGGATTGTTGCCCAGCTGCTGACCTGCATGGATGGTAGGATGGGAGAAGATGTTGCCACTTTTGAGTACCTGATACTAAGTTATAGACCAAACGAAGAGGGGTTATACTGGTTTATCACATCTTGTGACACTTACTGCTGAGTCATTGCACTTTATAATGCATTGATTTAAACTAAACACAGGTGACACGTTGCTTGTTTCTGACTGACTTTCTTTTATGTAGCGTGTCATGTCAGGCATTCTTAAGAGGAACACGGATTCTTATTTGTCAACCTGAAGCGATGCCACTGTACTTACTCTCTGATGTATGTCGCTTTGGATAAAAGCGTCTGTTAAGTGAATTGTAGAATTGTAGCCACTGATTGAGGTTATCCTGTTTTTGTCATATTAAAGAAAAGAGACTGTCAAATCATAAGAAAAGAAAAGAAACATTTCTTTTGAAGAATGCTTTCACTGATGTTCCATTTTTCTGTTGCTTGACAGACTTAAACAGTTTGACGGTGACAGCTCAGGTCCTGGTCATCGGTGCGACCAACAGGCCCGACTCCCTGGACCCGGCTCTCCGCAGAGCTGGACGCTTTGACAGAGAGATCTGCTTGGGTATCCCTGATGAAGCAGCTCGTCTCAGGTCAGCCATACAGGAAGTAAAGATCAACATTAAAAGAGTTTAGTCGTGATAAAATAGATGGTTTGTCTTTAAGGTTTTGTGACTTCTTGCTTTAACTCAACTTGAGGAAAAGGGCAAACAGTTGGCATTGCAGCATTGAACCTCCTGATAATCAAAGGGTACTTAACTAGAATCTCTTGTGCTCTGTTAGGATCTTGAAGACGTTGTGTCGAAAGCTGAAGCTGCCGGAGGATTTCGACTACAAGCAGCTCGCCCGCCTCACCCCAGGCTATGTCGGTGCAGACCTCATGGCTTTGTGCCGGGAAGCTGCCATGACTGCCGTAAACAGGGTTCTGCTGGAAGTAAGGGGACGGCCACAGATCTGTAGCCAGAATTCAACTGAAGTGATGACAACAAGTGGAGTTCAGACTGAGGATGCTGTGACTGCTGTGACTGACAAAGAGGTCACAGAACAACAGACGACAGACACCCACCCAGTACCTCAGGAAGAGTCCACACAGGATAACCTGCAGGTAGGAGGAACTCCACTTAGATTCATACTGTATCATGAACCATCCTCATAGACCGACTATAGTATTTGGATGTGTGTACCTATCTGCCAGGTCGCTTTTTATTTCTACTTGAGATATCTCTGTTGACACTTTCTCTGATTCAACTTTTAAGTTTGACTAAGAAACCATCATCAATTTTGATTTGGAAACTTTCTCACCAATGCATTTTTGTGGGGTCTCCTTTATAAAACAGTGTGTAGAATAATCCATACTAAATCCTGTAAATGGCGTGTGCACAAAATAACTCCGATTTATATTAAACTGTATGTACGCACACCAAAGAACAATGTTCCCTTTATAAATGAAGATCCACCTGGAAATGTTGCGCACGTATATCGGCCCCATGTTCCGCCCTCTACACGTCCACATAAAGACAAACATAAACAATGCAAAGCACCTCATTTATGTAAACGCATGCAAACAGGCAGATCAAAGGTTTCCAGCGCCGGATCACGGCAAAAACCGGAAGTTAGACTTCCAGAAATGGAGGTACTTGTGAATGATGTGGAAGTCAGAAACCATTTGTTTGTTTGCTGCAGCAGGAGGGTCCAGTCAGAATGACACCTGACAATGAATGATGAATGATAACATCTAAGAATGACATTCACGCTGTCCTCCTGCAGTGCCAAAACATCCACTTGTCATCAGTACGCACAAGTCAATCTGCAGTGTTTATATTTATATTTTTGTTTATGTTTATGGGACCCACACTGATTTCTTGATATATTCTCAGAGGTAACTAAATGATGCACACGTAGAAATGAAACTGCCGGTTTGAATGATTCTGATGACGTGGATCTGTCAGTAAAGTTTGATATTTAGTGAAATAAAATGTGTAAGACGCTTCAATTGCCGTCTGTGTCGCCAATTTTATGTCTCCTAACCACCCGGGTCAGAGTTTGCACATTTCACCTTCAGGCTTGTTTTTATAGATCACAGACTTTGCTTGGGAAACAGTGTAAGCCAGTTTCAGGCCCCGGTTTGTACCATACGTAACGGTTATAAATGAGACCGGATGAATTTAGTCAGTGTTACATAATAAGACTGTGAGTCCATTCCTGTAAAACGATGCCTGGGCCTGGAATTTAAAATGATAAAAAGGTGAAAACTTACCAAAAATGTGAAGATTTAAAAAATAGAGAATTTAGGGAAAATCTGTAAGACGAAGTGATGAAAATCAATGAAAGAGTCACATTAATGAAATCAACACATAGAGAAATTAAGTAATGGAGGCATGTTATACTGCTATTTTTTTCAAAAATCCTCAAATAATGTTGACCCTTTCTTCTTCCCTCCCCATGATGTCCTGGTGGGTCGTGTGCTCTGCAGCAGGGGGAGCTGTGGGATCTGCTGCACTTGCTGAAGAACACTGAGTCGCTGTCGGAGGAAGAACTCGCAGGCCTAAACATCCTCATGTCCGACTTTCAGCTCTCTCTGTCCAGCATCCAGCCTTCGGCCAAGAGGGAGGGCTTTGCCACCGTGCCTGACGTCACGTGGGAGGACGTAGGAGCCCTGCAGGACATCAGAGAGGAGCTTACCATGGCCATATTGGTACGGTCCAGGGGTCTTCATATATACCATCTCGTTTTCTCAGTCCATTACTCTCTGTAGGATAAACTCCAGAATGTCTTACAAATGAAGGGGGAGACGATGTTATCACAATATTTGAGTAGGTTTCTTATTCTGCTTTTAGAATAGTGCTTTATTCCTCACTTTACCTCATTGTTTATTTACTAAACATTTTTTGTAAAGGCTCTACAAAATAGACAGAATGGGATTTTCAGAGTAAAGTGGTTGACTGGTCTTATTGTCATTCTTTACTGATTCTGACTCTTAACACAGAGTACTGTGTGTGTATGTGTGTATGTGTGTATGTGTGTATGTGTGTGTGTGTGTGTGCGTGTGTGTGTGCGTGCGTGTGTGTGCATGTGTGTGTGTGTGTGTGTTGCAGGCTCCTGTGCGTTCTCCGGAGCACTTCAGAGCGCTGGGGCTCAGTGCTCCATCTGGTGTGCTGCTGGCTGGACCCCCAGGATGTGGAAAAACACTTTTGGCCAAGGTTCCCCACCACGCCAACACAATCATTCTGAAAATAGCTTCTTTAAATAGTGTTTGTGCATTTTACTGTGAAAACATTTCCAATGTACTATTCTATCAAGATTCATTCAGTCAGTTTTAGAAGAAAGTGAGTGAAGGACGTCTTTAGATCTTTATTATTATTATTATTATTTATTATCTTTAAAGACTCTCCTTTAAATGAATCTGAGAAGGCCCTGGAGATTTTTTGGCATGCAAGTTTGTTGTAATTTTTTTTCCACAGATTTTAAGTAACAAATTTGACACAAAAAAAGTACAATTTCTAACAAATTACATATGAGAGAAAGTAAATATCAACTTTATGACTTGGCTTGCCTTAAAGCAATAAAGCTCACAAAGCTCAATTTAAATACTTAAAGCAGGGGGAAACAGCCTGGCTCTGTCCAAAAGTAAACAAAAAAAACAACATATTACATTATTTTCTAGTCTTAAACATTTGATAAATACTAGCTTACATGTCAGCTGGACCAACTGTTTTTTACTTTGGTATTTTGTTGTCTCTTTTCAGGCGGTGGCCAATGAGTCAGGCCTTAACTTCATTTCTGTCAAGGGTCCAGAGCTACTCAACATGGTGAGTCACTGAGCTGGATGAATGTGTTGGTGTATCTTTATTAGAGAGCGACTGGAGAATGACCTAACCTGTAGGCCAGCGGCCCCCCATTAAGTAGAATTCTTTATTCTGATTGAATTTTAAGGCGTGTGTGCTGGTTGTCACTAAAACAGTTTTATGGCCCTTCCTTCCTTGAGCAGCTCGGACTGATGCAAACCTTTCTACCGTGCAGGCCTGACACAACAAGAGCACTTCCTTTTTACAGCTCTCCTTTCTGCTCCACTTAAGAAAAACAATCAGCCTAACCTGACTAAGACTGAAAGGAGAGTCCATGTTGTGCCTTCTGAAAGTTTTCACATTGGTTGGCTGTTAGCTTTTGATTTGATTTTAAAACTGCTTTTAAAGGCTCTGTCCTTGCACCACATGCCTTTATGAAATGCTTTTTGTTTATGAACCAGTTAAGTCCCATCATCCAGATCTTCTCTTTTAGCTATTCCCCATTATCTTACAAAGTCATCGTGCAACGATACATTCAAGAAGTACTCGCAAAGATGCAGGAATAAGGATACAGAGAATATGAGAGCAAGTGAAATATATATATATATATATATATTTAAAGTAAGTCTGAAATAAATGTATTTAATTTACTTTTCTGTACTGTTTAAAATGTGTTAGTTCTATGTTTTTATTATGAGTACTTATTTATATAAAATAAGTCAAATATAATATCTAAGTAAATGATTAAAGCTATATTTATTTTTGTTAGGTACTTTAATTTATTAAACTGTTCTTAGTTGTTTTAATGTGCATAAAGGCGTTTAGTCTTCTTGACAGCTGTTTTTACAGCACATTCAATTCTTGTACATGTGATGTTAATAGAAGTTTGAAAAAGTTTTGATTGAGGTGGAGGTTAGCATTTATGATTTGCTATGAAGTTTTAACCTTCACAACGTTTCTTTGTTCTGCCAACATCACGTCATTGTGCCTGTTACTGGTTGATACCTCAAAAAAGGTGAAAACACAGTTTGTGTTCGTCTCGCACTCTTGCCCTAACTATTGCAAAGGCTTATGTTGAGATTAGTCTGCCTGTTCAATGCACCAGAGTCGGTGTGAGCTGATGTTACAATCAGCTGGTTGGACTTACTGATGGATCTGTTTGTTTGTGCAGTACGTGGGAGAGAGCGAGCGGGCCGTCAGGCAGGTGTTCCAGAGAGGAAGCAACTCAGCTCCTTGTGTCATCTTCTTTGATGAGATTGATGCTCTGTGTCCACGCCGTTCAGGCCATGAGGTAAGAGCGACGGGAAAGAATCATGTTCGTGTTCATGGTATCAAATTCTGAATTTCACACACCAGCCTCGTCGTGGAGCGTTAGGTCAATCGACACCAGCAGCACAAAGTAGATGAGTCATGTAGACATCAGAGTCAGCAGTGTGGATGTTCTCACGACCAATCAGAGCTTTTAAAAAAAAAAAAACCTTATCCATCCAATCAGAGCTTGCATTTTCAATTGTACAACCAATCTGACATCTTTGATTTTATACACAGCCTATCAAAGCTCTGCTCTTTTTTTATACAACCAATCAGAAATCTTCTACTTGCTTTACAACCTCTATTCAATTCTATAATTGTTCATGCTGCATTCTCCTCGTGTGGTCCCAGTTTCCAAGTTGGGAAGTCGTCATTCTGACAGAATGTTGTAACAACAGCACAAACAGAAGATGTGAGGAATGTCTCTGTTACAAGTTAGAATTGTGCAATAAGTTAATTCATAAAAAGTATCTTAACATTAACAAAACTTATTTTGCAACCATGTGATGACGAATCTGACGTCAAGTCGGCAAGTCGGGTACCTAATTCTTTCCTGAGTTTCCGAGTTGTCGCTTTAACTTGAGCAGGCATTCATGTGCATTTTACAATTTGGAAAGTTTTCTTTCTGATGTGTCCGACACATAAATGCACCAATATAATCAGAGCTCGTTATTTAAATTGAACAAACAACAACAGCTCTGTTAAGACTGTTTTCATGACTAGGAGACCACTTCTAATCACACAGGAGATTTAACCACTTTTATTTAGACAGCATGCTTAGATGGATTATTGATTTCTATGTTTTATCATCTAACTCATGTCTGCTGCTGCAGCTCGTGTAGTGTGTGTATGAACACTGTTTGTTTTGTGTGCAGTCTGGAGCCAGTGTGCGCGTGGTCAACCAGCTGCTCACAGAGATGGACGGCCTAGAGACTCGACGACAGGTCTTCATTATGGCTGCAACAAACAGGCCAGGTACAGATCCAGTCAGACCAGACACATAGAAACCCAGCGTCTTTATTTTCTTTAGAACGGGTGAAGAGCTGGGATAAATGATAAATGAACTTGGGACTTGTATAGCGCTTTTCCAGTCTGGTAGACCACTCAAAGCACATGCAGAAAACTCCTGAAGCTGTATGTGTGAACGCAAACAGCCTCACTTTCCACTCTGACCTCACCTGGAGTTTCTCCTGAAAAAAAAAACCCCTAGCAGTTTTTTTTTCACACAGTGTTGGCAGAGGCCGCTACATAAAGTGCTCATCAGTATTAACTAATCCCATTCACAGGCTTTCACACACCACCAGTCAGGAGCAATTCAGAGTTCAGTGTGCCTGCAGGGGCTGGGGGTGACACCCCCTACCTTCCTGTTGAGAAATGACCGACTCTACCAAGTTTTTGCCACTTAAGTAAAAAAACAGAAAAGAAAACATTTCAACTTTTTTTGGAGAGGAAAGTAAAAAAAAAAGTTGAAATGTTTTCTTTTCTCACACATTCCTCTGATTTATGTTGGAAATCTATCCACAGGAGTCAGACCCATGGATTCAGAAACTTTGTTCTGAACTAATTAAATGTAGAGCGGTTTACTTCCAGTTGCTATTACTAGTGCTGTTACACACTCCCTTAGTATTAACAATTTAATGTCATAAAGTATACTATCGTTTTACCTAGGAAGAATTTTAAATGCAGAGATTTCTTTGAAATGAAGTTCTAATGTTTCTATTGGAGTAAACTTTCAGTATAGGATTTCAATTCTTCTTCAACCACTTTTTCTCATCCATCATCAAGGATCGTGCACTAAAATAATGTTTTTATTTCCCTTGTCTCCTACCAGATATCATTGACCCTGCCATACTGAGGCCCGGCCGTCTTGATAGAACCTTGTATGTGGGTCTGCCACCTCCAGCAGACCGCCACGCAATCTTGTTCACCATTACAAAGGTACACAGAGATACCGACACAGTGGAACCCAAAGAAGACAAAAGTACATTTAACCAGAATAAACTCTTAACAGCAACTCCTAAAATCCAGCATAACAGAGTACTTCTATGACTGGAAGCTTTACTTGTCGCCAACTTTGAACGTTTAGAGCCAAAGAGAATTTCAAATGTCCAGACCATCATTCATTAAATGTGTTTCTCATATGTCATTCTACCTGAGAATAAATCAGAGCTGTTTTAATTGTCAAAGTGTTTTTTAACCCCTGCGTATAGTAAGTAAGTACAGTTTATTTCTATAGCACAGACATCCCAAAGACTTTCAAAACAGACAGTTACATTAAATCAAGTGTCCACAGAGTTCACAGCTCTCAGTTCCGGGGGAAGAGTAGTCTTTGTTACAACAAAACAGACCATCGTGGCATGCATGAAGATGAACGAGTTGTTGGATATGAAGTCATTTTGGATATTTCTGTTGCAGGGAGGGACCAAACCTAAGCTAGAGCAGGACTTCAGTCTCGAAGAGATCGCCTTCGACGAGCGCTGCGATTGCTTCACGTGAGTCCTACCTGGAAACACCAGATGTCCTCAGACACTTATTGAATACATTCATAACCCTGTACAGCTGTTAGTCTGAAGGAAAGTGCTGCCTTCGCCCTGTGGCTATAGCAGATGACCATTAGTCCTGCTTGCTATGATACTGACTATGTGACTGACTACAAAGCACAGATTTAACACAGTCAATATGAACAGCTTGAGCTTTGAACCAGATTTGGAATACGTTTGTGTGTGTTCTGTTTGCAGTGGAGCTGACCTAACGGCGTTGGTGAGGGAAGCTTCTGTTAATGCCCTGAGGGTCTACATGAAGTCCCAGAACCCCTCTGCTTCCTGTTCTGGTAAGTTTTGTCCTACCTCTGCAGAGATGAACAATAAAAAGTGTCTTAACTGAAGTCTTTGACATGTAGGAGTAAAAACTACAAACAATATGATTATTTATTGACGTTATTTAGTTATGTATTCTGAGATGGATCAAAAGTTGCTTTGTTGCAGTTAGGTTGATTGATTTGATGTCCTGGAATCTCTCGTTAAAGCAAGTGCTAAAATTGTTTACCTGCAGCTATTTCGGAGTTTCCTTCTTTTTTATTTTTTATTTTTTTGGGGTGAGGGGTTTTGCCTTTATTAGAGGGACAGATTCAAACATGGGCTGCCCTCTTTGAGGACTGTAGCCTCTGTACATGGGGCGCACAATCTAACCACTAGGCCACCAGCGCCCCTATTTTGGAGGTTCATTATCATATACCGGTAATTAAAGTAATGCGTTCCTGTTTTTATCACACGTGGATCAAAGCTGGAGATAAGATTACTTCAGTCTGAAGCACTTACAAAATCTAGTCGGTGGCAAGTCGGCAAATGGGTCAAGTCAATGTCAAGACAAAAGTGCCAACAGCTGCAGTTAAGTTTCCTTTTCTTATCGGTGGTTCCTTTATTCATAGGGCACAGAGTCAACTGTGATAGACTTAGACTTAGACTTTCTTTATTGTCATTCAAACTTGTACTTTACAGTGCAGATAAGAACGAAATTTCGTTGCATTTGGCCCGTTGTAGTGCAGGATAAAAACATGATGACATGGATTTTGAAAAATGTGATATTTTGCAAGACTGTCTGAGAAAAATAGGCCATGGTAAAATTTGATATTTTGGCTGCTGCCTGAACAAACAAATACAGTTTAAAAAAAGGTGCTGAACAGTGTTATGAGGATGAAGAAGCCTGAATCTCTGTTTGGAACCTGTAGCCAAGCAGCCTGCAATACTGGGAGGACAGGTAACTACAAAGAGGATCATAGTCTAGACATGTAGGACATCATAGAAAAAATGTTTGAGAATGCAAATCAAAACTTCAGAACGTATAGAACTGTTTAGCCAGTTATGTGTATTCTCATTTTTCAAGAAGTGTTCACTTGAAACTCCTTAGTAGCAGAGTCCACTCGTGTCTCCCACTCATACACAATCCTGCAACCACAATAGCCTCAAGAGTGGTCACAGCTCCCACTTCAGCTCTCTGCGTTGACTTTAAGTTTCTGTAGAACTGACTTTGTTTCACCCTGGACTAACAGGCTTTTAGAGTGACAAGATGCTGCACATTAGAAAAGGGGGTTTGCATGTTGAATAACTACCAGATGACAGAAACCCCACTGGATTGTTTCTCACTCTGAGTGAACATAACTCTGTTCATTGAATTAAGGGTGTGTTTATTTGTTACTCACAGGTCACACATATTCTTCTGGCTCTGTCGCTGAAATCAGAGTGAGCAAACAGAACTTTGAAGATGCCTTCAAGAAAGTTCGCCCATCTGTGTCCAAAAAGGTAAGACGGTTATCACACTCCAGGGGCCGGCAGCCTTCTGCCCAACATGATAGTGGTCTGGTAACATTTAATATAGAAAGAAGAAACTGTCTTTCTGGATGGATGGGTCCAACAGTGAACTGACCTATGATTCTCTGGATGCAGTCATGGAGTAGTCTCCAGAAATCCTGTCCTTTTGAGGCAAAGCTTTGGAACATGAATGACTGCACATTTCAGATAAAGATCTGACCCGCTTTCCACAAATTCAGACAAAACATTCGGGCTTCAATTCCAAGATTGAATCTACTCTTTGTATTTCATCTCAATTGCTTGGTGCCAAGGGAAGTTTCTTTCATTGAGCAGTTGTGATTATTTTGTTGAAACAATATTTACACACAGTGAAGTGGTTTTTTACATGTCCAATAGATAACCCGGTCAAAAACTCAAAAAGTGATCGGAACACTTCCTGGACTCCAACAGTCTGTTGGAGGGGCTTCTTGGATAAGAATAATTGTGAAAGTTGTAAAGTCACAAGATAACTTCATGGCACTTTTTTTTTTTTTTTTTCTTTTTAAACAATTGAAATATTTATTTTCCCAAGATTGTTATTTTAGACCTTCAAACTTAAAGCTCGTCAGGGGGATATTTATTTATTTGACTCCCTGAAGAAGAGTTTGTTTTAAGCCTTTTCATGACCATACTGTGACAACCAAGCTGTTTTAGTGATTTTAAGAGTTAATCGGATCACTGTCTCATTAACTCACAAGAAAACCAGTCAGACTGGTTCCACTTCAAACACTGTAACATCAAGCTGTACAATGCTGTGCTTTGTATTTGTCTTTCTGTAAGTAAACAATTGAAGCATTAAAGAATGAAAAAGGCAACACATACTGTATAAGCATGCACTATTGGTAAAAACAGTGTCATGTTGATAGCCTCAGATGTAACACTTGTCAGCTGTTGTCTGTTGGGAGAATAACAGAGAGAGAGCTAGGGTGATGTTGAGGGTGATCATCAGGCTCAGTGTTTGTTCATGTGATAACCACAAACATGCAGTGACTGTCTCTGTGTTCTCACTCTGCAGGACCAGAGGATGTACGAGCAGCTCAGAGAGTCCCTCAGCAGATAGTCCTGACCTGCAGATATCATGGTTTGACTTTGAATCATTCATGATCATATGTTTACACATTATCATTGAAATCAGAATACAAATGCTATTTGAAATAAAAAAGTGTGTGTACAATAACATTTTAGGATGTTTTCTTATGAGAGACTAAGTCCTATGTGTCCTAAGGAAACAATCAGCTGCTGCTTTCTGTCAACACTCTTAAGTTCTTTTAGAACTCTGTGTCTTTGTACGGCTCTTTATCAAGATTGTGTTACTCAGTTTGTCATTGTCAGCATCTAAATGGCATTGCCCCAGGCTCACTGGTGGGAAATTCATAGAATATGCAACCAAGCCATCTTAACAAGAACTAAGTCCAATGTTTGCTGCAGTAAAACCAGACCTCTGTTACATAATGAAACTTTCTGACATTTCTTTTATGGTTTACATCGGATTCTTTCGAGGATGTGACCACCAAGAAAGCAGCTGGATCAGACAATGTGAGGGAAAGGGTGCTCAGACTATGTGCCGACAGTGACTGTATCACATTATTTAACATGTCTTTGGGTTGTTATAAGTTGTCAATCATCATCTCTGTTCTTAGACAACAAGAGCAGTCTGCCTGACTCTGGATCTACTCAATAAAAATCAACAAAGCTGATGGACAAGAGGGGGCTGTGACATTACTTACAATTGATTATGCAACATTATCAACTCCGTAGTTCAATCCGGATAGACCGCCTGCCTGAGAAAAAGGCTTTTTACAAGTATATATTTTTTTTAAATATCCACACAGGTGAGCAGATACATGAGTTTTTCACATTATGAATGGATTTTGCAGTATGTAAGGAACTGTAATACATATTCTATATTGTGTTTTCATACTAATGTATTAAATGTTTGTGTCTTTTGAAAGCATATATTTCATGCAACAATTCTGTTACCAAACAAGTTACTTTGTAGTATAAGCTGTGGTTCAAATATATTCAGTCATTAACTGCAATTTTGGGGACATAAACCATACTTTACTGTCAACAAAGATCAATATTTCAAACTGTATTTCTCCTCATTTCACCTCATGTTCCAAAGAGAAATTATCTTTAAATGTCATTTTATATATAGTAGTAAAAGATATTCCTGAGATTCTCGTTTTTTTTCTGGGCTGCTTTCAGCCAAACTTGGTTTTGAGAAATGTATGTTGCACATGTGCACCAGCGGGTGGTGGTGGTGGTGAATGGGATGACAAATAGGCCCACTGCAAAAGCTAAACGTGAACAGACATGCTTACATTTTATTCTATTCCATTTCCAGCGATAAGCAAAATTGGTAGTTTACTCGAGATCATGACCCATCTTATAAGCATATTCTATATCTTAGATTTATATCATTATCTCATGATAACAAGTTTTCCCAAGATTGGTTCATTTCTCAAGAGCTTGAAAAAACTGCTGAAATGAATTTGACATCACGGGGGGAAAACCAGCAGTGTATTCCAGAGATAACAACATCAATATTATCTCAATATAATATTTTTATATTGTTGCTCTTGAGAAAACAACCAAAATTGACTCATCATGGCCAAAGAGTTAAATTAAAGTCTTGAAGCATTTCTGCTTAGGGCTTCCGTAGCCCGCTATGGTGAACTAAGTGCAACAATAACGTCAAAATATAAGCGTGAAGAAAACTGCTTTTGAATAGCTTCAAGAGATGTAGCCACTGCGTAGGAAAGGCTTCACTTCACTGTGCACATGGATCTTTGACATCCTGACCTGTAGGCAGCAGGTGATGAGGATACCTGGACACACCTCTTCATCACATACAAGGACCTGAGGCCTGTGTTTTTGCCCCCCTGCTGTGCTCCATGTAAACACAGCTGAGGAGCCACTTCGAACGCCAACATCAGAGTTCACTGACAGCACAGCGCTGATTAATCCCATTGTATCCCCCTGAACCAAGACACCACGAACAGGACAGAAGCAGTGTGACACTTAAGGAGAATAACTTTGGACATGAAATAACTTATACAAATCAAACATAAAAAGTCCCATTTGTTTTTCAGAAGCAGGGTTTTTATTGATATTTTCAATCACTGAGTGAGATCTTGGTTAATAGATGTCAAGGATCCAATTGATTACAGAATTTCAAACTATCCTGGACACATTATTGTTGTATTTAGACACCACAGAGTACTACCCTGAGTTTTGCTGACTCAGTAATTTGGAGGATGTGACAGAAGAATATGGCTAATGCTGTCTCAAAGCTTGCACTAAAGAGCCAGGAAAGATTCCCAGAGTATGTGGTTAGTAGAAGTCTTTATATTGATGTATTACGTTTATAGCTGAAAAAGGGTTCAGAGTTAACTATTGAATGAAAGAATGGCAGATTCAGTCAATTTCATAAATCTTATTTGGTTCCATAATGCTAAACCACCAAACTACAAACTATACAGTGGGCATGGCCTCAGTCATTTTTACGATCTGCCTGTACAACCTGAAGGAAGTACACTTTTACCATAGTCTTTAAAGTGAATAAATTCATAACATTTATATTAAGACCATATATATGGAATTGAACACAAACGTAGATTAGGCACTGAAGGCTTACACACTTCACTCACACATACAAGAAAACCTTTAACTTATTTATTTTTTACTGTACCAGTCATAGTTGTGTGCAAGCATGACCACAGTATGCACGTCTTGGTACATGAAAATATGAATGTTATAAAGATGAGTTCAGAAAAAGGGTCACAGGCTGAGAAAGGGTTAACTTCTTCATTTCACAACATGAAGCAACCTATATAAGCCTCTCCATAAACTCAGAACTGTCAGGATCACGCTCATTTAATAAGGATGGCTGTTAAGTCACTCAGAGTTCATTTTTGGTCCACTTAGACAGACACACAGACACACAGTGATGTTGACCAATGGCAAAGCTGCCATAATGATGTTGACCTTCAACGGCAAATCCCAAAATGGAGGAAGGTAAGTTCTACTGCAAGTTCATGAAGCTCATCTCAGTCCATCCTCTGGACTTTTCTTTAGTGGCAGTGTAGCTATCTTGCTTTCGGGTTTTTTAGGGCCCATTGCACAAACACATCTTGAACTAGTCTTCAGTTAGCCCACTCTTTCTTTGTTCTTACTAGTCTATAACAAATCAACACTCAAACAGAAACTAACTTATTAGAACTGTTGACAAATGGCAAGCAGTGGGCGGTGAGCCCTATTTATGGTTTTGTATTGCTTTAATTTTTTTGTCAATCTAAGCCAGTGATTGCGTAACCAATCCTTGGTACTGCTTTATAATCGCTAACAAAAAAATTCTCGTACTTTTAATCCAACATCGTTAGATTTGGCCTTCTGATCTGAATAACAACCTATTTTCTTCTCTGGAGGAAAAACAGTCGAGCAATCTACCAAATTCCTCCAAATATTCACAATCACCACCCTTATTTCACATGCTAAGTGTACTAATTTGCAAAAGCGGTTGAATCTTTAGGCTGGTGAGCAGGGTTGCCGTCATGGTGGAAACTGCAGCTTTGTTACAGAGAAGCTTTTGTGGAAATTATTCCTGCTTGACATCTCCCTTCAGCTTCCTCTTGACACGGGAGTATGGGCTCAGGGCATCGTCCATTATGAAATCGTACAGGACCTTCATCCATGAAGTGTACTGTGGCAGGTCATCATAATATTCTGCTGCTATTTTCTTTACCTGGAAACAATAAGCGAAAAGAGATTACTCAATCTACAAAAATAGAGTCAATCTGAGGTTTCAGTTTATTTTCCACAGCAGCGGAACTGCAGGGTTAGATGGCAATAAAGGGCTGCACAGTGGTGAAGGGCAGAAGAGCAAAAAGGTTCCTGGTTCAATCCTTTGGTGAACACTGGAGGCTCCAGTGTGTGCACCTCCAGTCCCAGCAAACCTGAATGCACCGTAGATGATGGATGGCTTGATTTATAGCAATAAAGGACAATAAATGAAAATTAAAAATGATAATGTTTTATCATCTTGGTCAGTGATTTTCTAGGCCTGTGTTAGCAAATCCCAGACCTATAAGGCATGCCAAAGCCATAGGAGCTTGTCCAGGGGCCCTCCCAATGTTGAATGTTCCTATAGCGCTTCGTTCTGCACTTTTGACTCGTTCCAAAGTGCAGAACGAAGCGCTGAGCTCAGCTCTGTAGCTTTTACAGATCAACTTGTTTTATTAATTGTGATTGGAACCTGCGCACTTTATGCACCTCAGCACCTTTACCCGTGTACCGTGCCTTTGCACTTTACACGGGTTTTATGTATTGTCTGTGTTGTATTAAGTTTCTCTCCCTGCAACAAATAAAGTAACCTGAACATGTAACACAGAGAAAACAATTACAGTAGTCCAAGCTAAAACAATACGATAACCACATTCAATAGTTTTTAAGGAAGTTAATACTGACCAAGATAAGAAGTTACCCAATGCACATTTATGTGAACAACTCCAACAGACAAAGCCTTGTGCTGATTTGTCAGTTCTCAGTTTGCTATAAACCGGTGTTAGTATGGAAGTTTGAGCCTCACAGCTCAACTTTTCAGTGTGTCATAATAGTTTTATAGTATGTCTTATCTTTACTGCTGAATATTTAAGCCATTTTTACACGTGCCTTTTGACATTGAGCTGAATTAACAGCAGGCTGGAATGAAGTTTAAAAAAAAGATGAAGTACTGAGAAAGACTTTGTCATACAGAAGGAAGGTTACACATTCTGTTTTTGTATGATTTAGTTAAGCTGCCAGCCTAGACAGATTTTCTACATCAGATCATATCTTCTTTCACAACACCACAATTAACTCTTACACTAGTTAGTCATAGGGAGGAGTCCTGAGTTTTAATTACTCAAATAGGTATTCACTTTTGAAAAATGTAAAGTTTATTCAAATTCTCGTAACATCTACAGATAAAGAGACCAGTCGGCCACCGGTCAGGGCCAAGCAGGCTGAGAACCAGCAGATTCCGGTCACTTACTGATCCATCGGTGCACAGTTATTTTTTAGGGGAGGTGTGAAGATCCCAGACAACAAGCCCCTTTTCAACCAAAGGTCCCCAGAACTAAAAAGGTTCAGGGCCTTATCTTCAAGGAACTAAAAGTTTCCTGTGGCCCATCATCTAAGTTATCAGTGATTCCACCGCTGCCTGAAGTCCCGGGAAGTTTATGCAAAGTTTAGGCTGTACTGCTTTGCAAATGGCTTACCGGTAATTGACTAAGAATGGACAGAAGATGAGTGCTGTGTTTAGGTTTTCCTTAAAAGGGAAAGAGGACTCCCTTCATTTCACTAAACACTTAAGAAACACCTTTGAAGAAGATAAATTATATTAACCACTGTCATGGATTTCTTGAAGTTAAAATTGGGGTAAAAGTATTTTTTTGTAATAATGACATTTAAACTTTAGAACATCTGATTTTGGATGTGAATACACAAATCCTCGTAGGGACCATTTTAAAACTGTACTTCTGAGAACAATTGACAGCCATCAAAATTAGAATATAATATAATCACAGATGGTGTTTTAATGGAGAATTAAATGAAAAGAAGTACACCGTTTCCTCATTATTTTGGCCAACCCAAATGTAGATTCTTTCTGTAGAAGTCAAACCAAGTTTTGTTATCTTGATGAATGAGTTTAACACTTAAATTAACTAAATAAGTTTAAGAGATAAAACTAGAAAGCTTGATTCCAGATTAGATTTCTGACTCTTTTTTTGTCATTTGCTTTTTCAATTTATTTTGATTTTCATTTCTGTTTTGATCATTTGTTCTTTAAGTCATGCTTAGTATAATAATGTGTCTAGTACCTTTTTATAAAGGTTACAGTCAGACTTTGATTACAAATAAGGGTTGGGGACAAACAGTGGGCTTTCAACTGCAGTCTATTAAACACAGTGGGTGATCTAACACCCTGCTGTGCCTGACCAATCAGAGACATTCAGCTCTGCAGAACTACATTTTCTACCCTGGTAGATTTGGTAGAAACGAAACTAGGGAATAAGTGAGAGGTCTTGACTGAGTTGGTTGAGAAAAGTAGTGCACACAGTTCTGAGAAGCAAGTGCAGGCATGATGAAGCCTGCCTCCGGCTGAAATGTGTGGAGGTGTAGGAATGTTCATTGGTGCTTTACAACGTAACCAATTTGAACAAGTTAAGAAATATTTGGCAGAAATCCTTCTGTTGCCGTTTTTTTTTTTTTTTACCTTGGGTACTTACAATTAAATTCTGACCAATTAACAGAAGATTTTAAATGATCATTTTAAACACATGGTATCAAAAAAGTGTCTTTTAAAACCGTGGTGGTTTCTTTGAGTGAGATACTTTGTGTGAGCTACTGGAAGTCTCCACAGTCGTAAAGCTGTACTTACCATGGGCAGCCTCCGTCCTGGGATGCTGGGGAAGTCATGGTGCTCATTGTGGTATCCCACATTGAAGGTGAGCAGGTTTAGGGAGCCATAGTAGGAGTAGGTCTCATGGCCCTTGAGGAACATGTAGTGCTCAGCTATGAAGTGACCAGAGATAGGGTGCAGTCCCATCCCCAGCATGGAGCCAGCCAGCATATAGACCACAGGCTTGGCCCCCCAAAGCCAGAACAGCAGGAAGTCAAAGGTGAGCTGGAAGGCCAAATTGGTCACCTCCAGCTGGGTGATGGGCTTTGGGTTGATGTAGAGAGGTCGGATGGCATAGAAAAGTGGCTGCAGCATAATCCAGATTAATTTACGGAAGCGTGTGCAGAAAAACCAGCCTTCAAACTCAGTTGGGATGTCTACATCCACTCCATCCCCGCCCAGGTATCGGTGATGGTCCAAGTGATAGCGTTTGAAAGATGCAGAATAGGGCAGTCCAATGGGCAGGTTGGCAAACATGGCAAAGTAGCGATTCCACATGGCCTTGCTGTTTCCAAAGGCTGTGTTGTGGGAGATTTCATGAATAGCAAGGGTCATTGAGTGGTTGATACAGCTGCCAAAGGCATAAGTCCAAAACAAGACCCATTTCCAGTCCAAGTCTTTGACCAGGTAGAAAGCTAAAAACTGTATGACCACCATCATGCACACAATCCATTTCAGCCTCGGGTCAGGAACCATCAATGACTTGATTTCTGGGTATTTGGCTGTGAAGAAAAAAAAAACAGATACTTAAATTTAATTCACAGAAACTTGTAATGTGATCATCCGATTATCTGATTACAACTAAAAAAATGTCAAACAAAAACAAAGCATCTTCATTAGATTCCATATATGGAATAATATGCTGGATAGATCAAGATGACTAGGCACAAATACAGCGTTTTTATAAAGCTGAGTCAAATACTGACCAGCATCATGTAAAGATCCACAGTAACCTCCCAGAGTGGTCAGTCACACCATTGCTCTGCACTCACGCTCCAACGCCTTGACTTTCCAGAACTACATACACAGCCACGCTATTACAAACTATTTTCAGATTAAAAACAGCACTTCACCAACACTTGCTGCACTTCTACCGACACATAATATGAGACAAGTGCGCCTCACTAAGTCAGTCTCACAGGCACTCATCCCAATCCCTGCATACAAAAACAACTATGGTCGGAAGTTCTTCTTTTATACATACACCAAAATTTGCAATAACATTCCCCATCACATTAGAACTTTACCATCTACCTCATATTTCAAAAATACATACAAACAACACCTTCTCCACACTTACACCTGCACTCATAATTGTTCATGGACTGTTTGCAGTATCTGTACTCTCTGTTTCTATTTGTCTGTATTTGCCTAGCCCACGCTAATGTCCTGTAAATGTGTTTGTCTTGAGGTGTCATGACTGTGGTTTATGTTTCATGTTCCACAGAACAGGAACCTGCTGGAAACCAGTCTTATCAAATCTTTATCACAACCACTGATAGCATACTGAAGAACAGTCAACTTGTAAGGGAATTTCAGGAGACTTGCTGAAGAAGTTTTTCAGCTCCTGGTCGTTTTTTTGCTAGTTAGTGTAACTTACTAACATATTATTTCAGCCATGTTTAACATCGTCCCCATTGCAGGACATTGCTAAAGAAATTATGTTGGTGGTATTTTGTCATATGACAACATTTCTGTTTAAGTACATTTGTAGTACGGCAGGGCCCTCTGTACATTTTGTAATACCCTTTACATTTTCAATTATGCAGTTTTGTTAGTTATTATCTTTTCACAGGAACATTCGAGGAGTCTACTGATCTGTAGAGCGTCCCCTGATACTGCTGCATTCAGTCAGCAAAAAGGTAAATAATTTAACAGCTTTGCTGTAAATGAGTATCTGTGTCCATGGATCTGGTTACACTCTAACCACAATGACAGTACTTTGTGTTGATCAATTATGTTAAGTGTGTGCTGTGTCAAGAGTAAAAGAAGCTAAGAAATACAAAAAGTGCAGAGATAATGTATGCATCCTTTACAGTCAGCCAACACTAAGACCTGGTCCCCTGAGAGTGAGGGCCATGTGATCTTTATTTAAACACCAAGGATTACTTTTATGTTTCCAAAAAAGAAGCAATGCCTCCAGTAAAATAAACATTTCACATTCAACTGACAACAGCCTCGTTGTGTAATTTATTCTGCTCTGTAAATTTTCACACAACAATGAAGACAGTTCATGTGAAGACAGTTCATGTTGGTCTAATTTCACAGAAAGTTAAGAAAAAAACAGCCTCTTTGAGAACATTAAACCATTTTAGGTAACTAAATGAAACAATAATGAAATCTGTTCTTAGAGTAATGGCTGTATTACTAATAATAAAGACACTATGGGTGTATAACTCGTCGTGTTAGTGTAAACTTTGGTGTGAACCCGTTACAGTAACTTGTGACTCTCCAGGGAGGGGCGACGGACTTAAATAACCACTGTCGACCCTCAACATTAAACTGCAGCTATCTGTTAAACATATAAGTAATAACAGATAATTGTGTTAAATCGTGATGGTGTCAGGCAGATATAGATGATAATAATAATAATAATAATAATAATAATAATAATAAGATTAACATCTTTTAGCGAGACACGCAGCGGATGTGAAACCGTTAGCTTCACGTTACTTATCGATCAAAGACAGCTACAAAGTTTCTCATATTAAGCGAACAAAACACTTTTTTTTTTACAAACATTACTAATTTAAATGACCATCCAACTACAGCCACACTTTAATATGTTGGGTAATAATGTGTTATCCAAAAGCCTGCTAACAGATAAGCTAGCTCACCCAGGATCTCTTTCCTCCGGTCGGCATGCGGCTGGTCCGTGTAAACCCATTCGTAGTCCTCTCGGGCGACCCTGTTCCCCATCTTTTACACTTTTAAACTACTTGTTGAAAGTAAAAAAAACTCAGGTGATATATCAAATCCTTTCAAGAACAACTTCTCCGTGAACTCCTCTCTTGTTAGCCCATATGCCTGCCCGGCTGACCTGCCCGAACATCAGCCTGTTCTCCTCAGCGCGCAGCAGCTCCTCCCACAGGCAGGCCCAATATGATGCGTTCAGGTACCCAACAGTGCATCCTCCTTTTATTCAGGCCCAATATATCATGATGCGTTCAAGTACCCAACAGTGCATCCTCCTTTTATTCAGGCCCAATATGATGCGTTCAGGTACCCAACAGTGCATACTCCTTTTATTCAGGCCCAATATATCATGATGCGTTCAGTACCCAACAGTGCATCCTCCTTTTATTCAGGCCCAATATGATGCGTTCAGGTACCCAACAGTGCATACTCCTTTTATTCAGGCCCAATATATCATGATGCGTTCAAGTACCCAACAGTGCATCCTCCTTTTATTCAGGCCCAATATATCATGATGCGTTCAGGTACTCAACAGTGCCTCCTCCTTTTATTCAGGCCCAATATGATGCGTTCAGGTACCAACAGTGCATCCTCCTTTTATTCAGGCCCAATATATCATGATGCGTTCAGGTACTCAACAGTGCATCCTCCTTTTATTCAGGCCCAATATGATGCGTTCAGGTACCAACAGTGCATCCTCCTTTTATTCAGGCCCAATATATCATGATGTGTTCAGGTACTCAACAGTGCATCCTCCTTTTATTCAGGCCCAATATATCATGATGTGTTCAGGTACCAACAGTGCATCCTCCTTTTATTCAGGCCCAATATATCATGATGTTCAGGTACTCAACAGTGCATCCTCCTTTTATTCAGGCCCAATATGATGCGTTCAGGTACCCAACAGTGCATACTCCTTTTATTCAGGCCCAATATATCATGATGCGTTCAAGTACCCAACAGTGCATCCTCCTTTTATTCAGGCCCAATATATCATGATGCGTTCAGGTACTCAACAGTGCCTCCTCCTTTTATTCAGGCCCAATATGATGCGTTCAGGTACCAACAGTGCATCCTCCTTTTATTCAGGCCCAATATATCATGATGTGTTCAGGTACTCAACAGTGCATCCTCCTTTTATTCAGGCCCAATATATCATGATGTGTTCAGGTACTCAACAGTGCATCCTCCTTTTATTCAGGCCCAATATATCATGATGCGTTCAGGTACTCAAAAGTGCATCCTCCCACAGGCAGGCCCGATATGATGCGTTGAGGTGCCCAACAGTGCATCCTCCTTTTATTAAACCAAAGACATTTTTTGATAACAAGATAATTCTCTTGCCAGCAAGCTTCTAACCCCCATTCAACGAACAGTAACATTATTGACTGTCAGGATTTAATGGCATTTATCTACCATGTATTATGCAGGATATACAGTATGTTCTTGCTTACTGTGGCTTATTTCAATATTTCACTTTTTCTTTTTTTTTAGGGATGATAACACTAGGAAAACAAAAATGTGTTTAAAAGTTGTCAATATTAGTGGATACATAAGTAAAAGCTGCAGTATTTCTTCCAAGCCTTCTACATGACATGACCTGATGGATAAGTACTCAATCACTTTAAATGTCATCAAAATAAAACATTATTGCCCACAGGCACATAAACATGTATATTAAAATATTTTTTAACATTTCTCTAATAAGCGAGCGAATTTAACAACATTGTTAAATTGAACATTTTGCTCTTCACTGGGTGCTGGCTCTTGCTCAGTTTCTACTGCCACACTACTGCACACACACTTCTTGTATAGGCTACGTCACAAAATGTATTAATTTATTTTATTACAGATTTCTATGTAGACAGCAAATGAGACGTTTCACTGCACACAGTAGGCTGAATTACTTATTTTCACCAACGCGTTTCGCTCGCATGGCTTCATCAGATTTGTATGTAGGCTATTTACACAGAGTCATTAGTTGTTTTATTGTCTCAGAGCCATAACTTTATTACAGTATCATTGTATTTTAAGTTATTCCCTTTCATCCTCTAACATTCTCTCAATTAAATTAACCTTATTGAGTCTTCTAACCCTTATATAAACTATATTCACAACACACCTCTAGTTGTTTAATCTGTTAGTATGAACTTTTAGCATACTACAACCTTTATTATGCAAATAACTTATTATTCATATTTTATAGCTTTATGATAATACACTGAAGTGGCTACTCAATATATATATAAATATATATATATATATGTTCATACGGCCTGTGCTACTGTAAACACTTCAAATATCACTATTGCATTACTTCAGTAGGCTTACAGTATTTCTTAAAATGAGAGAAAAAGTTGAATCAAATCAGTAACGTAAAGAATGTAAACAAATTTGTTAGGTATTAAATTTCATAATACAGAGAACTTGGCTTGGTGGACTCAATGTTTTTTGTAGCCCTGTGTGTAGGAACATTTCACTCCTGCTGCTGGGTAATAAAATATATCAACTGTTCAAGACACACATCTATCTGTGGTGTGATTCATGCTGCTCTTTTCTTCCTTAACAGCTTATCTTTGTTGAGGCTTGGGAACACAGAAACAAACATTTCCTGTTTTATTCAACAGGAAGTCCAGGGAACAAGCCATTATGGAATAACAATTGATACACGTTATGTTAAGTCAACACACAAAACTGTTTTTCATCCAAAGTCGCTGGTCCTAAATCACTAAAGGGGCCGGGACAGGTCAGGAGAAATACCTGAATGCTGACAGCTCCAACCAGCTTCCATGACTAAAGTCAGAAGCAGGACACAATTTCATTTGTTGGTACCCCTCAAGGTGGCAAAACTAAGTAATAGTTTATGAAAATGTTCACGTCTGTAGATGATATTTTGGTATGATGACGTGATAGACCCGTCTACTGGCCAGGTGTGATTGCACCTATTGTCAAATAAAGCTGTACAAACATGCTATGTAGGTTGTTGAACTATACGAATCAGTATGTCAGGTATTCAGAAGTGTATTGTTGTTAAGACTGTATGGATGTGCACAGGCTGGTGGGGCATCCTTCCTTATCCCTCTCTCCCTATCTCTCCTTCACACAATGTTTGCTCAGTGGTAATCATCTTAACATGCACAATAACAATGAGGGTTAAGTTAGCACTTACACAGTCAGTTTATTTATTCCTTATTGACCTCATTCATTACTGTATATGTCGTACACTAAAAGAGCAATGTAAACCAGTCAAATTCCTTGTATGTGTAAACATGCCAGTAATAGGCCTACTGATTCTGATTCTGATGTCCAAGCTCACGTGACAGCCAATCACACACTTCCAGCTAGCACTTGAGTGAGAAGTGTACTGAACCTCATTTGGAACATTTGGCTTATTATTATTATTATTAATGATTTAAGAAACACATTTTATTTTGAAACTATAAAATGACTCTACCTCAAAGCATATTGTTACAAACTACATTTGTTTTTAGCCCTGCCTGTCACTGCCAATTACAAGCTACTTCAGATGAGTATAAGAGATTTCTGCCTGTCATTCTTTTAATTTATGGCTCACAATATCGTCTCTCAATGAAGTAGTATGGGTATATTACGCATTGCCTGAATCCTTAGAGTCCTTTGATTATTTCAGTTTCTGAGTTTTGTGTCTCTGATGTGTCTTGATGCTTGAAACATTGAAAAATGTTGAAAATGCCCTGAGACTAAAACAGGATACACACCAGCGTCTAAATGAGATTAACTTTAGGGGGTGGTTCACTTCATTCGTTACTGTGACACAGCTGCCACTCAGGAATGTCTATCATACCAAAATATCATCTACAGACATGGACATTTTTATAAATGATTACTAAGTTTTGCCACCTTGAGTGGTAGCAGAATCTGGTCTGGCCTATGGACTAACTGAGTGTAATGTGAATGATAAATCCAACAAGAATTTTCACAGAATGTGCAGTAATCTGCAGTTCACCTCATATTTGCTCTGTGTCTGCAGAACTAGTAAATTCAAAAAAAAATTTGGTAGCTGTAGTAAAGTCAATGTTGGGTTCACAGTTGATTGTGATGTCTTGAAATGTAAGTTACCATGAGGAGTTATAATCCGTAGAGTAAAACTAAGATGTAGCGCAGGAAGCACTCGGACAAGTGCAAAAGAAAAAAATAATCTTATTTTGTGGGAGTCTAAACTTTCCAGAAGTACATGGAGTTTGGAACATGTTGATGTTTTCCAGGCAGGGAGAGTCTTGTTTGAATATGTTATTATTACTGGGTATCAAAAGAAGACAAGTGGGTAAGTTAAGTCGAACTTTAATAAGTTTGATTTTTACATTTGTAACAGTAATGTGTGCAACAAAACCGTACAGTCAGCCTCAAGTTGGCCAGCTCAAAAGATAGTTTTCTTGGTATACATACATGAAATAAATTCACAATCTACACTTAAAAGTACATGAAGATTACAGTACAGTTTTCTAAACTGAGACGCAGTCTCAAATTAAGCCACTAGATTACATCTTCTTATGTTTATCTGACCAGTGTCATTATAATACACGCTGGTGTTCACCGAGATGTGAACTGCATTTCCAAAAGTTCATGCCGTAAGTGGTTCAGTTCATCAAAACAACAGAAAGCTTCAAACAAAGAAAAGGGCAGCCACAATATGGGCTCACAGCTAACCTAGCCTTACAAGGCAAGAGACGAGTTTGAACAGAAAAGAGGAGTACCTGCTGCACAGGGGAACTCAGACGCTGCTTTTCTTTTTTTAAACAGCTGCACAAACGTATTCTACTCTGAGCCACGCTATTGAAAACAAACATATTACTTTGCAGCACCACTCCATGGTCAGAAGTTCTGGCATTTCTACACTCCACCATGCGTGATTTCAAACTTCAATTTCAGAGTTCATCTACGCCACGGAAAAAAGGGACACACGGTATCATCACTGTCCACTGGTGCAGATAGGCTAAATTCCATTTACTTCCCTTGCTTTTGGGTGGGTGGGTGGGGGGGGGCAAAAGGTCACAGAGACAAATAACAGAGTCTGCGTGGCACTAGAGATGAAAATAGAAATGTGTATTTAGCATGAATAGACCCTGTAAAAAAAATTTTTTTTTCAGTTTCCACCCATTTGTTACAAATAATTAGTCAGGGAAATGTGTTGGAGAGACACTGGACTTGATCATGTCAATACTCAACATGACCGAATTTTAATAACAAGAAAACTTAAGTGATGAAATGAGAAATTTAAATCAAGGTCCTCATATTATTCTTTTAGAGTTTTCAACACTATTGTAAGATCTTCATTAGTGCAGACTGTAAGATATAGCTGACAGCTTTAAAAAAAAAAAAGATAGAAACTTACTGGTCAAATTATATCGCCAAACACAATCTCAATAGTGCATTTGAGAAAATAATGGTAAACCAGGGAGAACGCACCGTGTCTCTCTCTCTCTCTCTCTCTATTGATCAAGGCCATGATATCTGGAAGCTAAAAAGAAAACCTAGGATGTGGCCCTTGAGTGGCTTTATGTTGTAGATGACTTCAAGTTTGACCTAATGGTATAAAATGAAGTATGATTGTGCAAATGCAAGGTCTTTATCTCTGATAAACGGAATCATCAGAGAAACAGACAGAGGAGCAATTACAAAATGTTTTCAAGAAACGCCGGCCATGTTTCTTTTTCATAGTTTGAAATGAAAGGCAAGTAATGCTGTGCAATTATCTGCAGTTAAAATGATGGAAATGAAGTGATGTCCCTTAAAGGAGAAACAGCACATTCAAAAGACTTTAACTTTGTCTGATAGAACACTTTGTGGAAAGGTGTCAAATGTTTTTTGTTTTTTTTGCCAGCAGTTAAATTGTTGCCTCGTCATCATAAGCAGAGCACATAAGTTAACACAAGACGAGCATAAACATCAGGTGCTGTCAAGAGATAAAACGGCCTGTTCGAAAAACCTTTGAAGAAAATGACACAACCCAGCAGGACTGTTGGTCCCATTATCACTGCTCCGTCTCTGAGAATCATAGGAAATGATCCGTCAGTTGTCTTGAGGCACAGTGGAATGGATATCACATCACACACAACGTCTACCTCACACTTTGCCTTCTGCCAGGCAGGAAACAGAAGAAACAACAGGTCGACTCTGTCACATATATGTTACCTAAACACTGCCTTTCTTTAACACCCCTGTCTTCTTTCTAATCTGAATGAAGCACAGACTTTATTTTACTTAACGGGCCACAAGAACCAACCAGGCTACTGGCCAGGACTATAAGGTACTTTTCTTAAATGATCTATTGCACTCAACCAAGTAAATAAACTGAATGCTTGTAGATTTCGACCTCTGACCCTTGTGAAAATGGAAAAGAAAGAGGCCACAGTTTAACAATAATGTGCAATTTCAATTTAGGTAGATCTGTTTCACTTGAAGTTAAAGGCCCGTCAGCCGAGTCAGTTTCTGTAATAAAATCTCTTGGAGCATATTATTTAAGAAACAAAAATCGTATGAACACTAACTTATGTGTCTTCTGTTAGCCTTGTTTTTCAAGAATCTGATTTTTCAGTTTGGACATGCCACTTTTTGTTTTTGCAAAAATATGAGCCTTTAGAAAAGCATCTGCATTAAAATGCTTTAAAGCTACCTTATGTAACCTTCTATAAATAGATTATATTGCCTATGATCTGATTGGATTAAATGGCTAAGAAGCTGTCGAAGCATGAGTCTGGTGTTGCATTATTATTTTTCTTCTTTTCAACAAATCCCATGTGCAGAAATGAACCCTCATTTGAATGTATTTACGGTTAAGTATTGTGTGTGTAATCCAAAAGCTTGAGTGCTCTTTTTCTAATGTTAGAGCTCCATTGTTCACCGTAAATACACTTAAAAAATCATTCACTGGCGACCATGATCTAATTAGCCACAAACTGACCGTGTCTGGTTTTGTTTTTTTTACTATATCCAAAAGACACTGTCCAGTTTCTTTTAGATATAGTCCATGGAACTTGTTGGCAAGAGGAAAAAAAAATGAACACCAGACTTGAACAGTCCTTTAACAAAAAGTAACAATCAACTGTTTCCCACTCAATGTTGTGCAAAGTCCTGGTGATGTTCTGGGCTCAGTGTTCTAGCTGTAGACAGCAGTGAGTAAGTTCACAAGCAATAGTGTGAGTATGGGGGTGGGGTTTTTAGGGGCATCAGATTTAAAAAAAAAAAAAAGAAAAGAAAAAAAAAAGTAAAGACAAAAAAGACGCAGAGTCTCTTATTTTTTGCTACGCAGCCGTTTGGACTGTCGCGGAAGATCCGAGCTCTTTCTGGTGCGTTTGAGTGATGATGCTCCATCGCTCTCTGCCTCTCTGGCTAGAGAAGCTGCGGCCACGCTGCCACTTGCTAACACAGTAGCAGATGTGCTGGCAACAGTGGAAGACACAGCAGTGCTGCTGGATGTAGAGGGTGCAGCTGTGCTAGGCCTGGGTCCTCCCAGAGCAGCGGCGCTACTGTCCATCAGTTCGCGGAGCTTGTGTTCCAGCTCGGCAAGGCGAGCGTTCTGCTCGCCGATCACCTGCGTCTGTTCCAGCAGCTTCTGCTCCTGATCCTGCAGCTGCTTCTGCTGCTCCAGCTGCTTAACGCGAATTTCCTGCATCTCCCTCCGCAGTACTGTCATGGACGCCCCGTTCACCTTTACCTGCTGCTGCACCTTGGTCATCTCAGAGCGGGATGGCGTGTTCTTGGCCAGCAGGGACATGGTAGTCAGGGAGGTAGATGGACCTGCCACTGAGGGATCAGAACAGTTAGTGGACTTGCTGCATGTTTTTTAGCATGAAAATATTTTACACTTCATGCCAGCATTCGCCCTTTCACACAAGCATTCAATTACGACGGGATGTTAAAGTACCAATCTGTCCATCACACTAATGTAACCCCTTTCACACAAATACAACTTTCTGATGCACGGTAAGCGTGTGACTGTGTGTGATTCTACATTCATTTCTATGTCTGTTAGACAGAACGGTACTGGAGCCAGAGGAGAGCTTGGAAACAAACAAACTCGACATGTCTCAGACCTCTATTCCATTTAAAACCCAATATGAATGTATCAACACATGTCAACCTTTCTAATGCATTAGAGACTTTATAAGTGGTGTAAGGTGTAGTCGTTTTCTGCATCCTCAAGATAAGAAAGCACCATATTTGCACCTGACCCCACCCCCCCTCTCATTTCAAGACAAACACCCCTGGGCGCTAACAGAAGCGCAAATTAATTTTGCTATTTACACAACCTGAGTGTTGAGCGTTACAGGTTACATATTATAGTCCTTTACAAAAACCTTAAAGAAGTCTCAGAGGTCCTTAAGTATGTTGTAATGTAAATTTAAAAAAAAAGGGTGCCATTTTAATCACATATTGTAATTTTCATGTTTAGAGTTAAATAATTGAAAGTTGCTTTGCATAAAGTGGATTTTTTTTCTTTTTGACTTCATGTGCGAGCACAAAGGAGTTAACATTACCTGGTGCTGAGCCGATAAGGCGACCAGACAGGTCAGCCCCAGGCAGCTTCTTCTTCAGGATGGGGACTATCTTTTCATCAAAATACTCCATGGCCATGGAGGAGATGTCCCTCAGCTCTTGTAGAACCTCATGAGCTCGCTGGGGGGCTCGAGTGGAGTTTACGTAGCGCAACACACGATAAATCTCATCAATAACCTGACAGCACAGAACAGAACCTGATCAGGACATCGCATATGAGGCAGGAAAAGCAGACAACAGACATGAGGGAAACATGAACTGCTCCTGTAACACATCTATAGGCCCTCTGCTGGCAGCGCGACATTCATATTACAGTTAAACAAAAATACAGGCTTTATCTATAAAGAGGAACACAAAGGACCCATAGACACACAGCTATGTGGAGCATGTTATATTTAGGTTTGGAGTCCTGCTGCCACTTAGAGGAAAGAATAGGCATGCATCCATTCTTTAAAAAAAAGAACAATAATTCAACAAATGAAAATAACCTTCCAGTTCATCTTTTACAAAGATGTGTCTCTCTCTGTTGGTTGATCTATTAAGAAATATGTTACCTCATGTCAACTCCATCTTGTTTTTTAGTCACAGATGGACATCGGGTTTTAGAACGATCTAGTAAGATCGTAATGGAGAGTTGAAACCTGGACTTCCAGATGCATACGTTTTAGGATACAATACTTGTTCCAAAATGTTACCTGATATTTGCAGTAAGTCCATGATGTAACATGACTGATTCTTGATTTAACACTATTGTGTTTTTAAACGATGTATTCACAGCTGACCTGTATTCTTAAATGATTGTTACCTTCTCCTATCCTATACTGCAATTTGTTGTTGTTGTTGTTGTTCTATGTCCAAAATTAGGATCAGGTGAAGATCTGGGTGCAAACTTTCGCATAAAATCCATAAGCGTTATTTTGACATCAGAACATGGCATAAGATAAAACTGATCAAGGTCTGTTGCTGTATTGGAAATAAAAGCCTTCCCAATCCTCCTCACTCTGCTGGTCTACTGTTGCTAATGCTGGCAGCTGAGCTAACCTTTCCAGGGATGAAGCAGCAGAGGTTGGAGTCAACATATTTCATGAAGGTCATGTTGAGCAGAGAGAGGCGTGTCTCCACGGCGGCCAGGATGTCAGCGTGACGGGCCAGAGAATGGTTTCTCCTCTCCGATTCTCGCCTAGATGAAATTCATAGAAACACAAAGGTGAAGACAGGTTGCCTGGTTTTTAACTCACAACTTTATGATAAATGTTTCAATCGTATAAAAGCATGCATAAAAGAAGCTTAACTGCAGGGATATTTGTTCATGCTCTACCACTAAAAGGAAAATGAAAAACCATTCTCAAGTTGTAATATTTTGCACAAATGTACGGCCACAATTAACCAAAACTATTTCAAATGGATCAGTAATTCACCACCGTGTGCGTGGCTCCTTGTACATCCTACAGTCATCATTAATGGATGTGTTCAAAAACTGAGATGCATCGTGTACACGGCCACTGCCGGGATGATCAGTCCAAGTAAATGCTAGCTACAGTAGCTATGCACAATTAGAAATACTACAAAAATATGATGCAGTCTGGATTTGTTTACACAGAGTTCCAAATGCATTAAAGCAAAGCATTTTGGGAACAAGAAAAAATCCAATTTTGAAATTATTTAGTTCCACAGTATTCAATTGTTCTGTGGAGCCTTTAGACGTTTAGTTGAGTGTATTTAAATAACACAAGGGGAAGAGCAGAGGCTGACTGTGACATCGGCTGAGGCAGTGGTCAACCCACAAACATTAGCAACAAGCTGTACTTTACATCTGGAATTTTTAAAAAAAACCATTAAAATCCAGCCAATTGAGGTCCTTTAGTTTGCTGTAAGAGAATAAAGAGACACCGCTTCTCTTTCCAGTGGATACCAGATGTGTTTCAGCTGCATTTCTAAGCTGTAGGTTTCATGTATTGCTGATGGAGCTGGAACTGTATGCTTCATTTTGGCCTTTACCCACTAATCTGCTACTGAACACACCCTTCCAGGTAATCATTTTCTCATGGCAAGCAGTGCTGCGGCTGAACACATCCGCTGTGAAGAGGGTTGAAGCTGCGTCTGCTTTGCTGCGGCTTTCACTACACTGGTAAGTGCTAACAAGTTGTAGACTCAGCACCAGACCTGAGTCTTGATACATTAATGTTCCATCACATTAAGTTTATTTCGTACACTTTAAAATGCCCTCTTAGAAATGTATGAACTATTCCACTGTGTTCCTGTAATTTAATAGTGTGTGGCTAATCCGTAACAGCAGTAGAGCTCTGCTGATGTGATACTGACCTGGGCAGCTGGGCCTTGACTTGCCTCTGGCACAGGCTGTGGTAACGCTCCACCTTCAGGAAGCCCTGATTCAGGACACGCTGGCAAATCATGTCCATGCGCTTACACACCTGGAGAAGGCAGACAAGAAAAAACACAGCAAACACGTACGGCTTTATGAGTTTGAACAGGGTTTTACTTCTGTTTTCCAGCAGGGAGATATTTGCCAAGAATGGGTTCGAACACTACTGTAGTTTGGATTGGCTACACCCTTGGTAGTTATTGTTCCACTAGAGGCCATTTTGACAAAGTTTCCTTGATGCCTTGAAAAGATTGTTTGCTGTTTACTCCTTATACTACTGTGAAGCTGTTTGCTCGCCTGTAGAGCAAACAAGAACTTTAACGTAGTTCAGCAGTGTGTGCACTCTTCTTACTTTGAATGTCTGGATCAAAAAACAGAGTCAATAGGAGAAGTCCTGACTACGTTGAATACTTAGTGTGAATCAGAGGATATTTCCAGGTATTGGGGTTAGCTTTTCTTAATGTTCCAGGTCTGCTATATCTGTAAATGAAAAGGTGCAATACTATGGGTCTACAAAGCACAGGCCCAGGACTTTGAAGAGACCATGGGACCCTAAGCCCTCTGTCTTGAGTGACTTTAAAAAGGTACTGGGCAGGAGGGCGGTGCTTTGGATTCCATTTGCTTTTTATTCATGCATGTGTTACCAAGAAGATTAAGGCGGAGGCGTACAATTTTTGATAGCAAAAAAAAAAAAAAAAATCATGACAAACACCATCACTGCAACATAGTTCAAGAGACACTGCATGAAGGATTGTCAGAAAGCATGCCAACAAGGTCGACAGAATAAGAGAGTGGTGCATTGAAAAGCACATCTAGAACTTCTCAGAGACTTGTTTCCACCTAACCTCATATCCAACAACATTTCCATCAGGGCAGGTAAATCCATTCACGGTTAGCACATGCAGAAGCTGTCTCACATTTCAACTCTTCATTTGGTGTGATGCGTATCTCTCTCTGTCTGTCCTCATAATGAGATAACAGCACATTAAGCAGTGCGGGGGCCAAAGCTGCAACATGCACCACTCACCGGCTTTAAACACGGCCCACAATTATTACATTTACACTTTGCAAAAGTAATAATCAAGAAAGATGTTGCACACAGCTCAAATTAGCTTTGTGTCCCTTCTAGTTGGCTTGTTTTTGTTCTCCTTACCGAGCGAAGGAGGCTGATTTCATCATAAGAGAGGAAGTTGAGAATAGTCTCAATGGCCACGATGGGTAGTCCTAACAGCGGGTTGTTCTGGTGAGGCTGATCCGGTGGAGGGGTCGACTGTCTCGGTGACACCGATTCTGAGTCCAAGGACCCAACACATCCATCAACTCTATCTACCACGGCCGCCATCTTGCTTTGCTGAGGAGGAGGCGGAAGTGACGTTTCAAAGGGAAGCTGGCGTGACATTTTACCCACTTGATTTATTTACCGGTATAACAGCTTGGACAAAAAGAAGAAAGAAAAAGTAGAAGTGCTTGTTATGAAGGGAAACAGGGTCACTGCAGGCTCTTTCGGCTGCAAAACACCTCTTTGTTAAGTCCAGCCTCTTTTAATCATGAGATTCATTTTGTGTATTGACTAATAATGATAGCAAGATTTTAATAAATAAATAAATATATAAATAAAAATCTCATCATGCCTCTCCCCCTCTCTCTTATTAAAGCAAACACATTCACCTCTTATCATGTCTTGATTTAATTTACCAAAACAAATATATGAATAGAGAAATACATTCCTTATCACCTAAAGGACTCAGCTCTTACAGCCCACCTGCAGCCTGCACATCACCAATGAGAGGTGAATATATTTGCTGTGAATGGCTCAAGCTTTATGCTTTATATGTCCTCAATATAAAAATATTTTTTTATTCCTTACATGATTTTGTGCCATATACGTCTCCCTCATTTTCAAATGGTAACGCTGTTAAAACATCAAAAATATACATCTAGCCTAGTTCAGCACTATTAACAGGTCTATTAACACTTCTCATAAGATTGATACTTTCAAGTCACCAATTGACCTGACAAGCAAGTTGAAATACCTAGAGAGAACCCATGTACAGGAAGAACATTCAAACTTACCACAAAAGTGGTCCCAGTCGGACTGCTATCTTCAGCTGTATTAAATGTTTGTGTATTTGTTGGGAGAGGCCACAATCTTGCGAGCTTCAGGATCCTGAGAGGCACACACGTCCGTACGAATTGAGGAGGGGAGGACTAACTCTGGAAGTGAAACATCATTGTGTTTGGTAGGTTACCTTATCACAGTTTCCTCAGTAATAACATCCACCTCATAGCACCTGGTTAGTTGGTCAATCTCCCACCAGCTACTTGTCTAAGTTCATCCAGAAAGAAGCCCCCATATATATACTTCAAAAATGTGACAGACAGATTAATAGAGTTGTCACAAAGTTCACTCCTTGGAATATTTGCTTGAATATTATTTTATTCTTAAATTGTGTGCCTTTTTGTTTGAAACATGCAATGGTTCAGTTTCTCCTTGAAGAAAACTTATCGGCCCAGTTTATATTTTTCAAAATGTAAGGCCAATATCCAGGCTTCTAGTTTTGTCCACAATTCATCAAAAAGGTTCTTCACCATCACCAGAAATAACTTACTTTCAATAAAAAATGAAATATTTAAAGATTTTCAATCTGTTTTTTTTATTTCAAAAGTTCACATAATTTGCAAAAACCGCATACATGTGCAGTGCAATTTAATATTTAGCCCTTTCCTTTGCCTGTAATTTGATCATTCAATCATGAACCTCCTTCTACTAGACCTGACAGGTGAAGTCATACCTGGAAAAATAAGTTTAACTGTTTGTGTGAGGGATTCTTTCCTACTTGCTAATTTGGTCTTTATTTTGAGTATGCTGATTGACAGATACATTTTATACTATTGTTGTGTAATCCCCCCAATGAAACACCTGCAAGGGTAAGGAGCACTCAATTTTGATTTCATGGTTACTTACGAGGTGCATGCTTTCGCCAATCAACACTGAATTAATATTAATTATCCCACTCTTCATCAAACAGCTTCTCCTTCACACCTAAAGACCCAGCTTTACAGAGGGATTCCTCTGGGCTCTGTTAATGGACCACTTCCTCCATCCTCCGTATATACTGATATGTGGTCTTTCATCTCCTTCCCAAGTTTTGCTGGTAATACAGAGCTATATTTATAAATAAAATGCCACAGGCCTGAGTCTCTGCAATTTCCATTGGACTATCTGTGAGTATTTAAAGACTACATATCCAATAACTTCTCATTGTGAGACGGAAAGACCAAGTGGCTTCTCCATTTTTCTCTCTATTACATCAGCTTCCTGTGGAGGAAGCTTGGCCTTATGTCATCCTTTTGTAAAAAAAACAGATTATTTCCTCCAGCTTTTCACTGGCACAATAAGCACTGTGGCTATCTTTAAAATTATTAGTGATCAATGGGGCTAGAGTATCAAATTCACCATCATTAAAAACAATACAATAAAATGAAGAACTTTTCGAAGTGTCACATTTTAAAGAATGACACTCTCACTGTCAATGCCAGCCCTTCCACAATGAATTATGTCCTTATAGAAAAGTCTGGGTGAAAAGCTTCAGTCTAAAAATCTTATAGTCCAAGTCTTTGACACAACACAACACATTCATACATGGACACAATCATACACAGGATGTGATGTAAAATGCCCATCTGTACAAACTAAAGCCATTCGCACAAGTTGCTGGCTATGCCACCAGTAGCAATTAGGACTCAGTATTTTTTCCAAAAACACAGACATGGATTGTTAGAGCAAGGATCGAAACCACCAGACTTCCAATTATGAGATGACCAAAACCAAAACATCCACCTCATAGCACCTGGTTAGTTGGTCAATCTCCCACCAGCTACTTGTCTAAGTTCATCCAGAAAGAAGCCCCCATATATATACTTCAAAAATGTGACAGACAGATTAATAGAGTTGTCACAAAGTTCACTCCTTGGAATATTTGCTTGAATATTATTTTATTCTTAAATTGTGTGCCTTTTTGTTTGAAACATGCAATGGTTCAGTTTCTCCTTGAAGAAAACTTATCGGCCCAGTTTATATTTTTCAAAATGTAAGGCCAATATCCAAGCTTCTAGTTTTGTCCACAATTCATCAAAAAGGTTCTTCACCATCACCAGAAATAACTTACTTTCAATAAAAAATGAAATATTTAAAGATTTTCAATCTGTTTTTTAATTTCAAAAGTTCACATAATTTGCAAAAACCGCATACATGTGCAGTGCAATTTAATATTTAGCCCTTTCCTTTGCCTGTAATTTGATCATTCAATCATGAACCTCCTTCTACTAGACCTGACAGGTGAAGTCATACCTGGAAAAATAGGTTTAACTGTTTGTGTGAGGGATTCTTTCCTACTTGCTAATTTGGTCTTTATTTTGAGTATGCTGATTGACAGATACATTTTACACTATTGTTGTGTAATCCCCCCAATGAAACACCTGCAAGGGTAAGGAGCACTCAATTTTGATTTCATGGTTACTTACGAGGTGCATGCTTTCGCCAATCAACACTGAATTAATATTAATTATCCCACTCTTCATCAAACAGCTTCTCCTTCAGACCTAAAGACCCAGCTTTACAGAGGGATTCCTCTGGGCTCTGTTAATGGACCACTTCCTCCATCCTCCGTATATACTGATATGTGGTCTTTCATCTCCTTCCCAAGTTTTGCTGGTAATACAGAGCTATATTTATAAATAAAATGCCACAGGCCTGAGTCTCTGCAATTTCCATTGGACTATCTGTGAGTATTTAAAGACTACATATCCAATAACTTCTCATTGTGAGACGGAAAGACCAAGTGGCTTCTCCATTTTTCTCTCTATTACATCAGCTTCCTGTGGAGGAAGCTTGGCCTTATGTCATCCTTTTGTAAAAAAAACAGATTATTTCCTCCAGCTTTTCACTGGCACAATAAGCACTGTGGCTATCTTTAAAATTATTAGTGATCAATGGGGCTAGAGTATCAAATTCACCATCATTAAAAACAATACAATAAAATGAAGAACTTTTCGAAGTGTCACATTTTAAAGAATGACACTCTCACTGTCAATGCCAGCCCTTCCACAATGAATTATGTCCTTATAGAAAAGTCTGGGTGAAAAGCTTCAGTCTAAAAATCTTATAGTCCAAGCCTTTGACACAACACAACACATTCATACATGGACACATCATACACAGGATGTGATGTAAAATGCCCATCTGTACAAACTAAAGCCATTCGCACAAGTTGCTGGCTATGCCACCAGTAGCAATTAGGACTCAGTATTTTTTCCAAAAACACAGACATGGATTGTTAGAGCAAGGATCGAAACCACCAGACTTCCAATTATGAGATGACCAAAACCAAAACTGCAACGATAAAGATCACCAAGACTTCTATTGAAAGTGGAGTATTGGGGGTCCTCAAATGCTTAAAAGAAATCTTTGCTTTGCATTTGATACGGTCAATCATGAACCTCCTTTAACCAGAGCTGATGGGTCTGCAACTGTCCATGATGTTCAAGGTGCGTTTTTTCATAGAAATTAAAGCCCACTTGCGCTACTCAATTTTGTCAGTTTATTGTGTATATGTTATATGTATGATTATTTAAGAAAAACTGAAGAATGGTATACAAAATCCTACAAACAAAAGTATATACATACTTACAAGCAAGTCTAACAAACATGACAAACATGCTCTTTGAAATTCAGTACAGTTTTCATCAATACTGCCAAATTATAACAAAGCTATTCAATTGAAAGCACTGTATCATATATTCAAGCTACCACAAGCGGCATTTGTTCATTTCAACGTCAGATCCTCGGTGGTTGGTGTTAGCATGCTCAGTTGTTTTTTTTACTCCATGGCAGCAGAGTCCAGTTCATTGAGAAACCTTTGACACTTGGCCATGAGGACTTTGATGGCCTCTGTAACCAGTACCTCTGGAGGCAGGATGCCAGTAGATTCCACAGTAACTGTGAAGGGGAAAAAAGAGAATACAAGTACATCAAATGATATAGTGTTACTTAAATAATACAATATGCTAAATTAGCATGCCATTTATTTATTTCTACATTTCTGTCTCACCACAGAGATTTAAAAAAAAGAACAATTGAACAATCGAAAGAAAAAATCAATTGTGATTTATTCTCAGCTTGTTGATGGGACAGATGTTGGGTCACTGTGGTTTTAGGAGTATCTGTTTTTTTACAGAGCTAATTTAATGCCGACGTCACTTGAGGTAAAGGACTCCCTGAAGTCAGCATCATGTTGACAACAAGACTCTAAGAAGAACAGACTGAGTCTGCCCTAACATATACATGAACG